CGACACCACCGCATTCCCTATACCTCCAGATACCACAACTACAACCTCAACCGATCCCCTCACAGCCACCACCGACCCACCCCCACCAAAGAAACAAGCCAAAGAGCCCAAGAAGAAGAAACTCAAACGCGGCAAAACCACCTCTATAACCCTAACAAAAACATACGAATCTGACGTCGAAGACGACGTTATCTGGGTAGACGAGCGACCCGTTTCTACCACCATTACTTCCCAAACCGAGGTAGAACCCCAACCCGGCAAGGATAAGGACCACAACGCCACCATCCCCCCTCCTGCACATGAAGAGGCTCCTCCCACATTCCAGAACCCAGATCCAGAACCCGAATCAATCCCCGCACCAGCACCCAAAAAGCGCGGCCGCAAACGAAAGAACCCAGTCGAAGAACCACCACCGGCACCGGCACCAGCTATAGATTCTCAGAATTCATCCTCCGATAAAGAGAACAATCCGGTATCTGACTCCGATCCAACTACACATAAGCAGGAAAATCCACAACAGGAACCAGACCAACAACCACCACAAGAGGGAGAGAAGGAGAACGAGCCCCAACAGGAACAGCCTACAACGCCCTCCACACCCCTTAAACCAAACAAAGGGCCAACGAAGCACAGTCCGATATCTTCAACGACTAAAGTACCTTACCGGGTCGGATTGAGTCGGCGAGCGAGAATTGCGCCGTTGTTGAAGGTTGTAAGACGGTGATGTGGTTCGCGATTGGGGAGCTTATTACCGTTGTCATTGTTGGTTCTTTTATTATTAGATCTGTCTTCTGTAGACAGATGAGTTGTGGTTGCATTGTAAATCATACGGTTGAGGAACTGGCGCAATCATTATCGGGGCTTGAGCTACAGACGGAGCGGGACGGCGGTATACCATCTGGCGTTGTGGGTTCTTCTGTTGATTGATGTATTCGATATTTTTACTATGTTCATTGTGTCATACAATGCGATGTCTACGTTGTGGTCAAGTCCATCAAGGGCTACATGTCGTGCCAAAAGCATAAGTCAAATTTGTAAGACTAGTCTAGTGAGTGCAGACTAACAGTTCTCTCTGGAAAGCATCTCACTGCATAAGATGATGCGCCCCTTAACGTCCCATGACCGACTGTAATAGATACAGCCTCGATGCTACAGAGCTAAGCCGTTGCATAAGATATGGAAGGATCAGGCTTTCAGCCCCACATTAGCCTAATCCATCAACACCACGAGGAATAACAATATCACAATTGCCACTGATGAGCTTAGCTGCAACGACTTTCCTTCGGACTTCGCCGGCTTCGTAGGTTTACCAGAGCCAGCATTGGGACCGCCACCTTTGACGGTACCAGCATTGTCGCCACAATTACCATTATCAGGTCGACATCCGGCGCCGCAAAATGTAGACATGCTGCCACAAAAGCCAGTGCCACTGCAGCAAGGTCCAAACCGCGACCCAAGACAGGTGATGTTCCCACCACACATGCCGTCAACTGATACAGTCTTGGCAACAGGATTCTTGGATTTAGACTTTCGCGTTTGTCGATCGTCGAAGGCCTCGTCCTTACGATACCAGAGCTCAGGGGGATCTCCTAGGCACTCGCCAACCGTCACGGCGCGATAGCCCTCTGCAATAAGCTTTTGCAACATGTACTCGGTGAGGTTGTGGACCGTTTGTTCATGGACATCGTGAGCAATGACGAGCCAAGGCCTATCAAAATCTGTCCGAGAGGCCAAGTTGCGATCGAAAATGTCCTTGGATTGTTGGATCAGAGCCGGGCTATCATGACTGTAATCTTCTGTGTCGATGTCGTACAGGATGACATGATACCCAAGCGAGCCAAGATCTTCCAGACAGCCGGACTCCGCGGTACAGCTGGAGTACGGTGGGCGCATGTAAGTGGGGATTGTCCCTAGAATATTGCGTAGGGCGACTTCGTTCCACAGCAGCTGAACCCGGCGCTGGTCTTGCGTGACTTTACTAAGATCTTGGTGTGACCAAGTATGGCTGGCAACTTGGTGGCCACTGCGGTACATGCGTTGAATCAAAGATGCCCAAGGCATCCCAGGACTGTCAATCTCACCCTTGGCATTGTTGTTTCCTGTAACAAAGAATGTAACTTTTGCTTCATACTTGTCAAGAAGGTCAAGAAGGTCCTGAGTGTATTCCTTGGGGCCGTCAGCAAAGGTCAGGGCAATCGTTCCTGGAGTGGTACACGAACGAATGAACTTCGGGCCATAGGGAACGTTGCCTATATGAGGCCGAGGAATCTTGTCTGTAGGAGGGCCTCCTGGAGTTGTGTGAGCGTCGCAATTACCGAAATCGATCTGACAGTCAGGAGAGCTGCAGTGGTTCTTGGTGTCCCCGCAATAACCTGTAGCCATCAGTACGGGCTAATTGGTCTACAAGGGAAGTATTATAGACACACCAGCAGTTGAGCAGCATTTACCCTCAGGGCACTTGCCATGATCAGGGCCACAGCGAGGACTAGAACCACGCTCGACAAGCTTCTGATCGGGAGCATCTCCGTGAGTAAGGGGCAGTAGATGAGTTCCTTGACGGTCCAGCTGCAGGCTGAAGATGTTGCGCGCAGTCGTGCATGCCACAAAACCAAGCCCAGAAACAACCAAGCGAAGCATGTGCATTTTGAGATAGTATATTGTGATAAGATGTAATTCGAAGTAATCTGTAGAGTAATGGAGACAGTGGGTAGAGACTTGTACAGTTGATGAGATATGCTGTGGGAGAAAGAAGAAGATGGCTTCCAAGTAGACATTATTGCTTAGACGGACCGGGCCCTTCCTGATGTACATGGAAGTGACGACCCTGCATGCAGGGCAAGAAGCTACCGGCGAACGGGTTGAGCGACGGAAGGAGCTTATTCAACAATATCAGGCAATGACGGTGAGGCTGAATTAGAACAGGTCATAATTAGATAGGAATGCTAACCTGTCTCATAGATCAATGATTTGACCGGGAAATAAGCTTCTTGTCTACTATTCGCAAGGCTTTCTAGTCTTGCGGAACTCCATTGATGGGCACTGGGTTGACGCAGCATTGCATTGGTTTCTTCTTTTCATTAAGGGTATGGTCATGGCACCCAGAGAACTGGAAGGCTCATCATGTCTATAAGGTGAGTCCTAGTTACATGGGAAGCCGCCGTTCTGGGAATAAGACTTGAGGCTACCAGCACAAGATCATGTCCCTCGCGCAATTGAGCCTACGAAAAGCGGTGAGGGGATCGGGGTTGACTACTGTAAAGCCGGGACATGAGCAAGGTTACCAAGCTGTGAAATAGGATCAATGCTAACTTACTTGTGCTAAGTTATCCTCGCCAACAGCAGCAAAGACGTAGGGGGCTAGTGTGGGAAGATGAGGACCAAACTTGGCCGGGGCACTTTTCGCTACACCACCGACGGTGGCAATGAGGTGACGCCGATGGACTGTACTAAGTTGTGGGGAGTTGAATCTTTGCACCAGTCCTTGGACAAAAGCGCTAAGTTGAGCATCAGAGAAATGGAGCACGAGGGCAGATATGGCCGTCAGAGCCCTTTTCGTGACCACGGTACCAGCCGTATCGTTGTCAACGATGGACAGGACGGAGTTTTGCAAGGCAGTCAATTCGGGTTCTTTCAGCAGAGGACCAAAGCAAGTGACAACCTGGATCAGTACATCAATAGCATCACTGCTGAAGCCCTTCGATGGATCCTTTTCCAACATGCCCTTGACGATCGAGCCTCGCCGACTAGTAGGGGATGGGGTCGGGCCAGTCAAGCGGGGAATGAGGACGCGAGAGACGGCCGAATATGCCATTGTCGCCTCCTGGCTTGGAGGCTGACCCGCCTGGGGCCGAGGAAGAGCTGTCACAATGTACCTCAGAGCAGTATTCGGAACAGATGTGTCAATGGTTTGCGAGGCTGTCAGGTTTGTGAGCTTTTCGAGGAGAGATGCAAGGCTTTCGAAGGGCAGTCGAAGGACAAGAGGGCCAAGACTAGACAGTGTACATTGAGTTAGCCTGGTTGAATGTTTTCTTAAAGAAGGACTTGAACAGACCATTTCAGGGCTTGGTTCTGGACATCGCCGTGTTGGTCATCTAAGGCCTTCAATAAGCCCTCAGCAAGCCTTGATGAGGAGACTTGGTCATGAGCCAGATAGGTGGAATTAGGATTATTTAGTATGCCAAGTAGATCATTTAGGGACATGTATCGCATGTCCGGGTCAGGGTCGCCCAGCTTAGCGAGCAGGCTGTTAAGGCTGTGCTGCACCGACTGCCGGTCCGCCATGTTGGAGCCCCGCAGTGAGTTTCGGCGTTAGGATAGTGATAGGTGGTCGAGGGCAAAGATAACCCCTAACGATGGGGAGTAGGTGTTATGAAAAGTGTGTGCTTCAGACAGTGCGAATAAGTTTTCGCGCAACCAAATTAGGGATGAAGCTGGGACTGGGGAACCACCGAAGCAACAAGTGGGATGATGGATGGGGGAGGAGATAGAGTTAAAGTGGTGTTTGTTATCGGAGCTGCTTGTGGCAGCCTCAGGCATGAAGCAAGCTTCTACGGCGGACCTTTAAGACCCTTGGTGCATGTTTCATGCTTGATCGATTCAGAACCACGCGGTGACCTCGAGAATGTGCATTGACAGGGCCAATTGAAAAGAACGTAAGAGTCTTTCACTAGGCCCATGTTTTTTTGCTTACAATGCCGAGGAAGATAAATGGCTATAGCCTTCAGTTCTCAAGCACGCGGTCCATGCGAGACAGAACTACAAGAACCAGCGGTCTTCCCCGCACGGTGCCATTACATCATCCGCGGTAATTACGGATGGTAGTACATGGGGAGTACTTTGCTACTCCATAGTGAGCAACGCTAATTACCAGGTAAACCAGCAAGTAAGTAACCGGTAAAATGACCGTGACAGCAGGGAAGGGGAGCCACTCCGGCAGCTGCCGCTCCGAGAAGTTGACCAGGAATGGAATTGCAACGTAACGAAGGCCAGTCCGGGACTGCCTTCAATTAGGTCATACCATCCCCGTCCAGCCTCCTGCTTTCCCCTCATACTTTCTCTTCCTTCTTCTCCTTCTTTCTTCCGCTGCCTTTTTCTTCCCGTCAATTGCATCTCATTACTACCGTATCTGTTGAGCTATACCGTTTTTCAATTCATCATCTAGCCATAAATCATCTCACAATGGTTCTCGCACGCCCTCATATCCTCCGCGCATCTGCTAGGGCCGTCGGTGCCGGCATTAACGTCGCAGCTCGCCGACCTCCCACACAGCAATTCGCTCGCAGGGGTTACGCTCAATCGCATGACGCTCCCAAGTCCTCCGATCTGCCATGGTAGTTATCTTCTCTCTGAGGCCCAAGTCTCACTGGTTCAGGACACAGAACTAAAGATGCAATTCTACTAGGCTCATCGCATCTCTTGGTCTTGGTGTCCCAACAGCATTCTACCTCCTTCAGTCCGGACCCAAGAAGACCCCTCATCACGGCCATGAGGCTCACGGCGCTGGCCACGTCGAGAAGGAAGAGAAGGCCCCTGCTGGTGAAGCTACTCCCCAGCCTGATCGCGACGCAGAGCAGAAGACAGATACGTCTTCCTCGTCTGCGGAGAGCACGCCGTCAACGGACGGAAAGCCGCCCTCGGAGGCAGACCAGGTGAGCCATTGATTCCCCCGGCAGTAGCGATCATTTCGTTCCTTGGTCTTAGAGGATGGCCGACTAACTACTTTCCAAAATTCAGCCCTCCAGTCGCAAGGACAGTGGTAACTCGGCTACCATCTCTGGCAAGCAGGAGGGTCTCTCTAACACTAACACGGACAACCCGTACGTGAACGAGCCTGGAAAGAGTGCAAAGGGTGAGGGAGAAACCGAGAGCGCCAAGGTGAAGGGGACCGTTTCCCCCGAGCGCCCCCAGGCTTGATTGAGATGACTGTGGATCGTACATGTGAAAAGTCCACTTGTGTCTTTGACGAAGGCTACTGTATTTTATCGTCCATGTGACATGATTGCAAACTAGATCATCAAAGAGGTGTCAATGTAACGTTTGCGTCCAATACTTAGCAGTGATATGTTCCTTTTCCCCGGAGAAGGTGCAGCCTAGGCTCGCGGGGAGCACTCTCCTCAGCTGTGTTAGCTCTGCCACAGGAGTCACGCCAATGACACAAGATATGTGTCTGGATAGTACGGAGTACAGAGATCTTTATACATATCCTCGAGTAGGGAGGAATTTACCATTGAGTTTCGTATTGGAAGTTATCTTCCTTGTACTACCATTCCTGCACTCAGCTGCTTAAGTTGCTGAGGTACTTCCATTGTATAATTTGGATGCCCCCCATCTACCACTAGTACTACTTAGTAGTACTAAATAAATTTAGTAAGTATGTGTCACTAGTACTATGGCATGTGGAAATCGTATGTCCATTAAGGGTGCACGCGCTTGGCTACCTACATGACGAACGCCATGGACTGATGGTACTAAATTAATGGTCTGCCATAGAATTGAATGAAACAGTGTTGGCATTGCCAGAGATGTGTTGCATACTATTAGCACTGCGGAGGAGTGGTGGTTTGTTTTAAGAAGTGAGAGGCGATTGGTATTTATCTCTACGAAAGGCATACGTTTATTTGCAGGCTCCAAAAAGCCACTAGATCGACGAGCAAAAAGTTGTAGTGCTCCGTACTAGTGTGCAGAATTGCCGGTTAACTATATGCTGATAATATATATCATCATGATCATAGTAGTTGTTTAGTACTACTCCACACTAAAACTCCCCATTCTGACTATCAGCCGACACTGACAGTTTAATACTATTTCGATGATCGCAGGCTCAATCCGACTTCATACTCTGGGAGTTATGATCGCATCCAACACGAGCGAGTGCTTATCAATCCAATTTGCCCGAAACACCAAGCTCGTGCCTTGCAGGGTCTGGCGTTGGAAATGCGACGACTCGGGCAGACCAGACCGTGACGGATGAGACTAGTCCACTGTGTACTCCGGAGTGCTCCTTGCGTCGCGAAAATTAATATCGAATGAATCCCCAAGGGATCGACAGTAGTGGGCGACAATTGGGTACTTTTTCCCTGCTATCCACAATGCTCAGACTCTCTTAAGACTAGACTATACTCCGTAAAGAGGATGGAGTCGGTCACTGCCAGAAGTACTGCAATTGGTTGGCGAGGGGATCCAGTGCCAACTCAGACTGCAATTGTCCACTTCAGGTTAAGGGATGTGCTTGCATTTTAGCTGTGCTTTGCGGGTCTGGTTGGGCTCGGTATCGTCATGGCCCATAGTAATTTTGTTGTTGTTATTTTTATTTGTAATTTGCTCAATGTGTTGCTCCGACGCAAGGTGTTTTTCTTTTTTTCTTTTTTTTTTTTTGCTTCCTCAAGATGCAGCAGGAGGTGTTTCAGGAGAGGCACGATCTCGGTGGAACACACGGGGGGATCAACCATGAATCCCGGTCCCTCTCTGGAACCAAGGAACCGTGGGGACGGAGACAACAGGATATCATGGAACTAGAGTTGGGCAGTTAAAAACCCTGTCAACAAAAGAATAGTAACACTCTAAGAGCCTAACCAACTAACCAATTCAAGCGTAGATTGATTGACTGGGGAGGGTTGCCCCGAGCACCCGCCAGCCAGACTTGATCGATGGAAACTAAACCAACTAAACCAACTAAAGCCGTGCCGCTGAATCTCCACTCGCCCAAGAATAACAATTTATCGACTTGTAGATTCCCTCTTCCTCCTCTCCCCTCTCCCCCCCAATCTTACTTACATCTTCTCTCCCATTCATTATTCCTCTGTAACTTAACTACTCGGTCCTTGCTTATCCTCTCCACACCACCCCCTCCATTGCGCATCTCCCCTCTGCAACAAACCCACCGCAGTCCACCCCCGATGCCATTCCACCATCCTTCAGCTCCATGGTCCGCCTGCATCTGCTAATTTCCGCTGTGCTTGCATCCCGCCTGGCGTCCAGTGAATCGCGACGCGCGCCGACCTGAGCTTCAGCCTCTGCGACCACCATCCACCCCCCTCTCCTCCGACCCAGAAAATGAGCGACAATCCACCATGGCTGGACAACCTTTCCGACGATTGGGTGCCCGTCCCTGTGCCTGGAACCCCAACCAGCCCGGTCCCCTCTCGGTCCATCTCTCATTCCCGCCAGTCCAGCTTACAAAACTCTCCTAGTCGCATTCCTGTTCCCGCGCGTCGCTCTGTCGCCCCGTCGCCTTCGCCTGTTGATAACAAAAAGAAGGTTTCCCGGCCCTGTCATTTCGTGAAAAGGGAACCGCCCACGCCGAAAACCCCTCGTACCCCCAAGACCCCGTCCAAGTTGCGATCTCCAGTCCCCGATAAGACGAAAAAGAGTCCCCGACCAAACCCGCCGTCCAGGCGTAAACAATCGTCCACCATGGACACGAGATCGCCGTTGCGGTCGGTCTCGAACGCCTCCGGTCAGTCGGTCCAGCAAAGCACCGTCCAAATCAAACCAAAGAAGGCCAAGGGCAGCGAAGGGACCCCCGAATGGCGGAGGAGGCTGGTCCATGGCGATATCCCTTCCGGTGAACAGCGCGATCTTTTTGCCCCCATTGGACTCGAGAGTGTGTTCAAGCCGCCCACCCCCGGAACCGAGAAAACGCAAGACGAAGCCATTTCTAGAATGAAACACTCGGATAGCGTCTGGGACTTCTCTACGTCTTCAGAACGACGCGACAATGCTACCTCGAACGGTGCCCCCGGTGATGGTCAACATGAGTTTGGTGAAAGTGCCGGCCATTCTTCCTCTCCGAAAAGCCCCCGATCTCCGACCATGTCGTCACGTCACGATCAAGGAGAACCCAGGTCAACTCCAGGAAGCCCCCGAGGATCGCACAGTGGGATGCTGGATGTAAGGAAAGGGCCTACGAAATTTGTGACAAACCAAGGTGATGGCCATGAGGATTCCTGGAATGGCACCCAAATGAGATCCGCAAGTGGCTTGGAAGATATGCGAAATGAGGACTTCACGCCCATCACTTTCTCACAGCCGAACACAATGGACGGAAACGCTGCATCAGAAGTGATAAGGTCCGCGTTAAAGAAAGTGACAAACAAGCTCGAGAGACTACAATTGCCGCCATATGAACGGCCCGACTCCCCGGCAAGTGATAGCTTCCTGCTAAATCAACCGTCGGAGGCTCCCGTCGACCCGTTACCGGAAGATGATCTACTGGATGTCACTAGTCATTCTCTGCCCAAGGACCTCTCCATGGGGACGCTGGATTTCCGGGGCCGTGGAGCTTTTGCGCACTTGCGACGAGACGACTATCTGAACGAAGGCTCTTTCCAGAAGCTACATCTGTCCCCGCCACCCTTTCCCTCCGAACGACTGTCACCGTTCCTGCCTCCCAACCAGAGAATCCGGAGCTCACCACCTTTCTACCAGAAGACTAATCCAGTAACGGATCCCCCGACGCTTCCTCGACCATCATCTGCGCATGTTGCTGTTCGACCCGGAACCGGAAGAACCGACGTCATGCCGTCTTCAGGCAGCCCTTTGAAGCTGTTCGGGAATCATGATACTTTTACAAACAACAGGCTGTTGCGACGAATGAGCCAATTTGAAGAAACCTACGGAGGTTTCTCTGAGGATGATGAGCCCGTGTCCCCCTCGGAAGAGGCGCGGCGCAAGGGCGAGTCGAGGAGTTTCATGAGCGCCCAACAAGACGCGTTGGGTGAGGCCAGCATTAGAAGACACGAGCGGCCGAGATCGCGGAACACGCCGAACCCTCGACTCAACCGATTTGGTGACGGGGAACTAGACCATTTTGACTTCTCTGATACCAGCCCGTATGAGCCAAAGCTGCTCAATAATGAAGCTCTCGGCTCTAATCGGAGGTCATCTTCGCGGAGACTCTCTATCGAACGGGGATATCTGGGTCGTCGTTCGTATAGAAACCAAAGCCTTGATGGTGGGTCAAACAGATCAACGAAGAATCACAAGTCAGCGGAGGCGTCCGAATCGTTCCCGAGTGCCAATGCCACTGAGAAACAAGGCCTATGGACCGTTGAAGAGTTCTACCAGTCTGAAACGGGATCAAGGCCGCACTCCCCCGCTAAAGACCCCCACCCAAAGAGGCGCCGTACCCTTCTTCAATCTCAGAGTCTCATGCAAGATGATGCCGGATCTGGAAAGGTCACAGGTCAGGCTCCGGATAACCTCACGTTGTTACAAAGGAGTTTGATGCAACACGGTGTAACAGATGAGGACAACGAACGTTTTCTACGCTCTCAATCAGCGTACCGACCCAACACCTCGACTCCGAGTCAGATGAGATCGCTCTCGAGGAAAAGGCCATCGTCAAGCCGGAATCACAATCGTCTTGGGCATGATGACCATGGCAATCACACCCTCTCCCCGCCGGACAACGTGATACCGATTGTGACAGTCAATGGCGTCAACACGGAAATTCGGAAAGGGTCAATTACTACGCAGGATTTCCTCAACGAGGCAACCAAGATTATGGATATAATCCGATCCAAGGGCCGGTCTGCTGGCGGACTCTCCAGTGTAGAGGAGTCAGATGCTGAGGACCAGGACGAGAGCGGTAGTTATGAAGACGAATCCACTCGCGAAGAATTCTCGCGCCCTCCGAGCCGGGAGGGGGTCGATATGCGGAAGCTAAGGGAAACTCAGGAGCCAAACCCTCGTGTACTGAGTCATCTGAAAAAGTTCCAAGAGGATGATGACCTAGAATTTGAAGTCAATGGGTCCGATATGTCCTTGAACTTGGATCAAGATGAGACTCGCTCCGAAAGTGCAAACTCGATTTGGGAGGAAAGCGAAGGAAATGAGAAGAATGATAAAACCGACGCTGAGGCCCAAAATCTGGACGCTGAACAACATACACGTAGATCGTCGGCCCCAACTGAAGATGGCGAAGAAGACGATGATCTTCCTGACCTTTTAACTATCAACACTCATTTTTCCGGCAAGAGCCTCAGTGCACGTTCCATACCCACAGGCTCTTCTTCGCAGAGCTCGCATGCAAAAGGTGTCCTGTCGTCAGACATCGTGTCCCACCTGATTCCGGAGCAGGTGAATGGCCTCACATACGACCGTTATAGAAACCAATGGGTGAAGGAAGGGGTTCAGAAGTCTCCGGGCAAGCCCAAGGGCGAGGAGAGCGAGGACGACCCGTTCAAGGATATTCCTGACCTTAGCGTGGATGAGCTCCAGGAGATGATGAGAATGCAGAGCTCTCTTTCTCCCGACAAAACCAAGGGATCTTCGGTCCGGGGTGAAGACAACGCGCGCCAGAGCTCGCCCAGCCCACGAAAGGCTTCCAATCAGTCGGAGCGGCGCCCGCAAACGAAAGAAGGCGACCCTTCGGTCAATTTCAGCTCCATTCAGTCAAAAACCACGCCCTTTACGTCTAGGTTTTCCAACTCGGAGACCAGAGCTACATCTTGGGGATCCGAGGCCCGCAGGACGAGCAAATCAACCAGCGAGGTCGAGCATGAGATTCAGCTACACGAAGGGCGCCTGTCCAAGCTACCGCGGCGCCAACAAGAAAACCGCCAACAAGCTCGGGTTGTGACCATCAGCTTCTCGTCGCCACTGGTCTCACAGATCGCATTTGATGAAGATGAAAGCCCCACCAAACTCCGACAAAATCAAGAGATCCAGCAGCCTGAGCATGGCCCTGCCTGTGTCGAGGCGGGCAATTCCAGTCGTCCGCCGGATACCCTGCTACCAGAGCAGAAGTCGCTGGACCCTGGTGCGATACCGGATCTCGATAACAGAGGAGATTTAAGTTTGATTCGAAGAGGCTCTCATGGGTCTGTGGCATCTACGCCGGACAAGAGCAATTTTAATGATTCGCTGGTTCCCTTCCAACATTTAGGACCAGACACGACCTATAGCTTCCATCTAAGCCCATTGCCCGACTTCACTATTGACCAGATCGATCAACCACTTCATCTTGAGGTTAGCTACGTGGCTCAGCGGACTCACCCGACATCGCTACGCCAGGTCCACGGCACGTTTGCCTTGGCTACTGAGGATTTGGTGAAGCATATCACCGAAGCCGAACCATTCGAACCGTACTGGGAAAATGTGAGACGACTGGTTCTACGGCACAAGGGGTTAATTACTCTTCATAAGCTCTGCGATTTCTGCCCCCGACTGGAAGATTTGGATGTGACCGGCAACGACATTGGTCAACTAGGTGGTGTTCCTCCCAGCCTAAGGACTCTAAATATTCAGGACAACTGTCTCTCGAACCTCACAGCTTGGGGCCACTTGACCAACTTGCAGTATCTCGACGTGTCCGGGAACGAACTCGAAAGCTTAGACGCGTTCAGCAGCCTTATTCACCTCAGAGAGCTTAAAGCCAACGACAATAATATCACAAACATCGAAGGCATATTTGATTTGGACGGGCTATTGAGCTTGCAATTAAGAAATAATAGCTTGACCACGGTCGACTTTGGCCGAGCAGAATTGTGAGTACATCCCGCTCAAGCTGCCTTAGTCGGAATTTAACGGTCCAAACAGGACTCGCTTGCATGATCTAGATCTAAGCCACAATCAACTTTCCTCCATCCGCAACCTTGACTCACTTCCCTCCCTGTCCGCCCTTGATCTTCGCTACAATCAACTCGACGGACTTGAAACCACAGCCGCTTTACCTAATCTCCAATCGCTGAAGCTCTCCAATAATATCCTGCGCACGCTCGACGTCGGGGCATTCCCATCCCTAAACCTGCTTTATGTCGACCAAAATTTCTTGCGCAGCGTCTCTGGTCTCGATAAATGCCAATTCTTGGAGGTCCTCTCTGCTAGAGAACAAATGAATGGAGACGTTGATGGTGGCATTTTCGACATCGATTTGGGTTTGGTGAAAGATCTTCGGAAGGTCTTCCTCTCTTCAAACAGACTCTCTATGCAGAGCCTTTCGCCTTCCTCGCCCCTTTTAAGCTTGCGGCTACTGGACGTAGCCTCCTGCAGCATCCAGGGGCTTCCTGTGGATTTTGCTTCGAGCTTTCCCAATGTGGTGGTCCTCAATCTCAATTTCAACTCCCTCACAGGTCTGAACGAACTATCGGGCTTGAAGTGCCTTGCTCGGTTAGCAGCAGCCGGAAATAACATCACACGGCTGCGACGTCTCTGTCAAGTATTGAGCCATATTGGGAGAACAAGTAAGGGAAGAGCCTGCTCTCTACAGAAAGTCGACATCCGTGGCAACCCCCTCACCGTCCGATTCTATCCCCCTGCTGTCATTGGAAACGGCAAAGCGAACGTGAAGAAGCTGAAGGCGAAAGAGGAGCTTGGCCAACGACGCCAGGACGGCTTGGACCTTCCCTCTGCCCTAGCCGAGTTTGCGCACGGTGGAGACGTCACGCACCCAGCTACTGTAGGCGAGGACGAATTGCCGAATCCTGCCAAGGAGATCGAGATCGATGATCCCTACACCCTTCCGCTCGCCGATCCTTTGGCTGATCAGAGATACTTGTCCCACTTGGATGAGGCAACGCGACTCCGCAGACGAGTCTTCGAGCTCATGCTATATGCAGGAACCGGGGGTTCAATTCGCCTTTTGGACGGCTTGGAGCTGAGACCCTCTGTGGATGAAGGTTCCGACATGGACCGGGCCTGGGCAAAACTCGAAAAGCTCGGTGTTCTCAAGAAGAAAGCCATCACTGCATAAATTGCCTGTTCTTTTTTACTTAGCATCGTATGATTCATGATATCCTGGGGTGCAGCTGCACGGAGTTTTGATATCATTGGGTTGGATTACTGTCTTGCTTTCTGTTCTTGATATTTTTGTTTCTTGATTCTACATAGCGGATGGTTGGTTGTTGGGGTTGGCGTTAAAACGGCTACGTGAAGGGGCTGGCTGCATACCAGGAGTTCTGGAAACTCATCACACTTGCTGTATTCTACTTCAAGCGGACTATTCCCCCCATATCATATCCGGTGCACATTCTGCCGTCATAATGCATTGGTGCTTTTTATTTATTTTTTCCGTCCTACACAGTAACTACATTCAGGCCAGTGCAGTAAGCTGAAAGCATGAATCATCGTTCGTAATTCATTCACGTCGATCATAACATACGATATCATGCACTCGCTTCGCTTTTCAATTTCACGCTCCTCCACTTCCCACCGTATGTAAAATATAAGCCAAGTAGATAGACTGTCTAAGCGACCGCCAGCTGAAGTTACAGATGGCTGGAGTAGGAAAGAAAATACTTTCATCTAAGCCTCCGCCTCCAACGTTTTAAGCTGCGCACCATACGTTTTCCGAATCAACTCCATATAAGCCTTCCATTTGTGGTGATCACCCGCCACCTCGGCATTCGGGAACGCCTTGCTCAGTTCGCGACTGATCTTCAGCACGCCCAATGATGCCTCTTGCGCTTTCTCGAGTTCTTGCTTCACGGCGTTTTCCTTCGGCTTGAAGGAGAGGATGGCATTGTAGCGTTCTGAGAGCGCGTCAAGATGGCGCTGCGTCTCTTCTGGGGCGAGATGGATCAGCTTGGAGGTCATTAGGTTGCAGATTGTGCGGATGTCTTGTTCGTCGTCGATGCCGGAGAGGATGCGGTCGAAAAATTCGCTCATGTGGCTGAGGGAGAATGCGGAGTCGAGGGAGGCGTAAAGGGTTTCATAGGCGCTCTGGAGGTTGGATTAGTCACTATCTTGTGTGTAGAAGGAGGGAATTAGAGGACTGACCTTGCGTAGCTCGAGACCGTCGTCGACGCGGTGCTTAAATGGTCCCATTTGCACTTCGCGGATGAGTTCTGGCTTCACCTTGGTGTCGCCGAAGACGGCCGGGAGGAGTTCGTTGAGGTGGGGAAGAAGGATGTCCATCTTGTTGTGGATAGCGGAGTTCAAGGTCGTCAGAGCAAGACGGTGATTGCCAAGGTCGCGGTCGCTCAGCATGTTGACCAACAGGGGTACGATCACGGGCCTCAGCACATCGTTGTACGTGTCTCTGGGATCCGAGAGGGTGTAGCGGAATGCGGAAATGACAACGCTGCGGATACTCGGGTCACTGCTGGAGAGATAGTCCTAGGTTGTGTTAGCTGCACATATTGCGACTATTGACATACCGCTGGCAGTTGGACTCACCTGGAAATGAGGAATGTAAGCGACTGGATCGATCAGGGCGAGCCGGCCTACACATTCTGCACCAACGGCTCGGTTGTCTTCCTCCTCTGACACAACCAGAAGTGCTTGCCAGAGCTTGACAGCAGAAGGAGCTACATCTGGCCGGACAATCTCGGGGTGTTGGAGTAGTTCCCTCACGGAATGAAGGAGCAGATAACTCTGCGGATTGCCCTTCTCAAGACCACCCAGGATAATAGGCAAGTAAGACTTGACGTTCCCTGCTGCTGCATTACCCAGGGCTGTGGCTGCAGCCAGCCGGACCTTGTCGGATTTGGAGTTAAAATGGGTGATGAAGAGTTCAGGGGTTAGCGAACAGCTGGAGCCCATTCGTAGACCGATCTCTCCCAATATCGCGAGCGCAAGGCATTTACGTTGAGCATCCTGAGCAGTCTCCAGCTCCGTCATGAAATCTTCCATTTTGACACCCAGCTTAGGACCACCGTGCACCAAGAGAGTTCCGATTGCTCTACCGACCACTGACGTGTCGCCGCTGATACCGACATCTTGAAGAAGCTTCTTCATCAATGCTGCACCAGCTCCCTCTTCTCCAATGACCTTAACTAACAGGAGAAGGGCCTTCAGTACTGTTCCAACGAGCGATGATAGAACGACGGAACACAGCGCAGAGATCAGGTTCTCGTTCACAAGAAGCTGAGCATTCCCTGGAACCAGCTTCGCCAGAATAATGAGTGACGGCGCGAGGAAATGGAAATCTTCTGCGCTGATGAGCGGTAGAAGACTATCTTCTAGCTCTTTCATGGTCTTATCGTCGTAATGAGTTCTAGTGTTGGGGTTCATGGCCAGGCTACGAAGGGCCTCCAAGCTAGCACCTCGAAGAACCCGGTCTGACTTGCGAAGCTGTGCGCCAAGCTCTGCAGTAACTTCACTAACCCATGTCGGTGCGACATCCACCTCACGAGTGCAAAGGACGGCCACATCGTCAACGGCGCGGACAGCTGCGAGCCGCGTGGTCTCGTTCTTCAGTCGCTCCACCAAAACAGAAAGACCTTTGGAGCGTTGTTCAAGAGGGAGGAAAGAAGAACCTTTCTCCCCAGCTGTCCGGGCCAAGAGCACACCGAAGACGTGAATAGCTCTCTGGCGAACTTCGAGGTCGGCACTCGTATCAGTGATCCGTGTATGAACGACATCATATAGTCTCTCTAGGTGCGATGCAAGGTCCTGAGAGGCGCTGGGGACCCGCGGCGGCGTAAGCGCCTTCACGATTTGTTCGACGGCTCCCAACGCTTCGCTGCTGACCTTGTAGTTCCGGTCATTGACAGCCCCAATGACGCCGGGAATCAACGCGATAAGGAAGGGTAACAATGCATCAGACGTATGCGTTTCAGCAATCGCGGCGATGAGTCCTAAAGTTTCGGTCTGAAGGGTGCCCGCACTCGCCGAAGACCCGACAGGTGCGGATGAACCGCCTGAGAGAGAAGAGGATTTCAAGACATCCGCTATGGGGTCCTCGAGCTGTTGGAGATGATCCGCAAGACCACCGTAGCGAACGAGTGCAAGGCTCTTAAGCAGCACGATAATAGCCTGCTTCAGTGGTACAGAAGCTTGCTTCCACATCTTGACAACACTCTGCACAATTATCGGCACTGACCGAGCCAGCTCCGCCTGTGGACCGGATTTGGGCGAGGAAGGAGCAACAACGGGGGTGCTGACAGCAGAGGAGGTGCCAATGCTGGGCTCGAAGTCGATCATACTAGCATCACTGTCCTGGCGTCTCCTCTTCCTCGAATTCTTCGAACCGCCGACGGATTCGAGGAAGCCGTTGGACGTGATTATCATAGCGCCTTCACCTGTTTTCCGAACAAGCGCAGTCATGGTAGACACAACTTCGAGCTTGACACTTTCTTCCCTTTCTTTATTGAACCGGGCGATAAGAGCGGGGGAGATTTGCTGAAACAAGGACGCATCGTCTGCAGCACGGCCGCGGGTGTAGGACGAGATGACGGAATAGAGCAATTTTGCTGCACAGCGGCGGACCTTCCAGCTCATATCATCAATATCACTGTAGCCTCCTTCTTCCTCGAAATCCTCAAACTCGTCGTCGTCGTCCAGATCGGGTTCCTCTGTTACGTCATCTTCAGAGCCATCATCCTGAGTGCCGCCCATTTCTTCATCGTCTTCGGCTTCGGCAACATTGGGATCGTATTTGAGAAATCGAAGGGCTGAGTTGATGGTATTGGACATGTATGGCTGCATCTGAGAGTTGCAAGAGCTAATCAACGTCTCCAGGGTGACGAGGGCGGTTTCCCGGAGCTCGTCCGCCTGGGGATCGTGCTCGTCATCGTAAGACGACATTGTGTCGGAGGGGTAACAAGTGGCAGTATATTGAATACAACCAAGCGCAAGAAATGAGGCAGCCGCAGCAGAGAATACAGAGGGTGACAGTCGAGCGAGCTCCAGATCAACAGCAGCTGCTCTCTGGGAAGCTCCGATAGCGTGACCCCGCGCTAGGCCCAATCCATCCCAGAGGAAACAGCCGAGATTCCGGTCTTGGCACTCCAAGGCAGTGAAAGCAAAAGCAGCAGGGAATTTGGGATGTCGCAAGTCGCTTTCACTACTGAAGAAAGTCAAAGAGATCAAGTGAGGATGAATTGCTGCGGGATTGTTGCTTGGATGCCATCAGAGCCTGCAGCCCACCTTGCTTGCGAGCCTTGGCCCGCTTTTTGCTGTTGGCATTGTCGGCCGCTTTATTCACCCGACTCTGATCCGCCATTTCGGTGGCCGGTTCAGACTGGGGCGTTGTAACAGCAGATGATGATTGAATATCAGGCGTAGATGCCGCTGTAGAAGTAGCTTTTGGTAGTAGCGCAGGACGTGCTGCATCCCTGCGAACTGGCTTGATGGTCCGCCGCCGGCAACGAAGACATTTTAAGATCGTAGCTCCATCAGAGCTTGCCTTGCCCGCTCTGCCTGCATTCGACGGCTTGCCTTTTCTCTTCTGGATGACGATATTCTTAGTCCACTGTGGGCTTCTGACACTGCCACATGCACCGCACGAAGTCTCCTGGAGCCGCTGGTTCAATGGCTTAAATTCGTCACGGATAATGCTGTTGTGAACGGTCATTAAGTAGGCCGCTGTTGATGGACTGAGAACATTGAGAGCGCTGGCGGAGCCCTTGAGGAACTCCAACCGGGGCGCATGATCACTAAGGGGCATGTTTTGAGTGATAAGGATCTCAAGTATTCAGATCGGTTGTGAATATACAAGACGACTGTACCTGCTCAAAACCTGGCGGGAGACATAAAAATGAATTGAGGCCGAGAAGGAAAAAAAAGGGCTGTTCGGCAGCAAAGCAACCAAACACTCTCCCGCCGCACGATCAACTCACGCCTCCCGGTGTTACTCTGCCTCTACTTTTCATCTTCCTCTTCTCCCCCAGTTCCTCTTAAGTCACTTTCTCACCTCTCGCATCTTTCTATTCTCTCTCAAATTCGAGTAATCTGCGTTCAGTAATTCTCACTCTTGCATAGAAAGTCTCCTACGTTGTTCCTTATCATCTTTTTTCATCTTCTGCGTCTCAAGCTTTGCTAGCGACCCATACTTCGTCGCCGGATCGATCTCTATTAACTTAGATCGCTCGGCCTTTTCCAGAATCATGGAGATGCCAACTTCGGAGTCTTCCTCGATTCGGGTCGCGTTTGAAGGATGTGTAAGTCAACTTTACATTTCTATACCTTGTACTTAATCTTGCTGACCACAGAAACTTCTCTAGGGCCATGGATGTCTTCATGACATCTATGCGTCAGTCGATAAGGCTGCCGCTCTCAAGGGCTGGGATGGTGTCGATTTAGTGATCATTGGCGGCGACTTTCAGGTAGGACTTATATTGCCCCTGTCAACTTTCCTGCCTCTCCAGCTAACCTCAACCTAGGCCGTCAGAAATGCCAATGACCTGGCCTGCATGTCGGTGCCAATGAAGTACAGAGAATTGGGAGACTTTCATGAATACTACAGTGGGCAGCGTGTTGCTCCCTACCTCACAATCTTTGTTGGCGGCAACCACGAAGCTAGCAACCACATGTTTGAACTCTACTATGGAGGGTGGGTAGCCCCGAATATCTACTACCTCGGTGCGGCCAACGTCATCCGGTGTGGGCCCCTTCGCATCGCCGGAATGTCTGGCATATGGAAGGGATATGACTATCGGCGGCCTCATTTTGAGAGGCTGCCTTACAATAGTGATGATGTTCAAAGCATCTATCACATCAGAGAACTCGACGTCCGGAAATTGCTCCAAATCCGTACACAAGTTGATCTGGGATTATCCCACGACTGGCCTAAGCAGGTCGAGCGTAGCGGAGACTTTGAGACTTTGTTCAGAAAGAAGCTTGGATTCCGCGAGGATTCCCAGATCGGCCGACTTGGTAGCATGGCTGCTAAGCATGTTCTTGATCGGCTGCGCCCAGCCTATTGGTTCTCGGCACATCTACACGTTAAATTCGCGGCCCTAGTTCAGCATGCCGAGTATGTTGTTCCTGAGCATCCAGCTGCTAAGAGGCAGGCTGCCACCGCTCCAACTGATGCCAGTCAGCGTTCAAGCGCTCCACAGGCATTTGCGCTGGATGGTGCCGTATTCACTTCGCTGGTTCTCGGTGAAGAGAACCCATTGAATGAGCATATGGCCTCCGCTTCTACTGCAAAGTCTGGTAAGCCAAATGAAAGCCACGCTGTAAATACCGGAGATTCTCAGCTGCAGTCGGAGAGTGGACAACCTGCTCGTCAGCCATCCAAAACCGACGCATCGGCCGGAGAAGCAGCTGGCGACATGGCGACTAAGCTATCAGCGTGGAATAACTTCCACGCGGTTGCTGCCCGAAATGAAGCGGCTGAGAATGATCTCTATTTGTCGGGCAAGGCACAGAATCATGGACCCAACCCTTATGAGATCAAGCACAACCTGACCTGGAAAAGGGTTGAGACTGACATGGATGGCGTTAATCGAAAGATTGCAAGCGTCGAGAGAGAAGTTAGCCCTGACCGCCAAAGCAATAAAACGCAGAAGGTTCAGCATGAGTCTGAAGTAGTGAAGAATAGCGACGAGATCGACCTAGATCTAGACAGTGACTCTGATGACGCATCTAGTAAGGCGCAGCCTGAAACAGCAGTTTCAGGAAATACTGGCTCTCCCACGCACACGCCTACGACAAACCAAATGGAACGCGATAATGGCAACGCCCAAGCAGAACCAGACAAAGCGGCTGATGTCGCGCAGGATGTGCGCAACCAGCTGCCTGCCAGCTTCGCACGTCCACAGCCTGATCCGTATCCGGTCAATGGCCCCTTGCCCGAGGCAATCTCCAACAAGATGACTAGTTTTCTTGCATTGGATAAATGCCTACCAAACCGCGAATTTCTCCAGCTCCTTGAGATCAATCCTATTTCGGACTTAGATGGGGCGAAGGTTGAACGCCCATATCGCTTGCAATACGATAAGGAATGGCTGGCAATCACACGTGCGTTTGCCAATGACCTTCACCTTGGTGATCCCAACGCCAGACCCTCTGCGGATAAGGGCGACGTCGTTTACCGACCCCAGATTCTCGAAGAGGAGAAGTGGGTCGAGGAGAACGTTGTTAAGCCTGGAAAGCTTGTCGTCCCGGAGAACTTCACTCAAACGGCGCCCGTCTACGATCCCGCCGTACCTCTGACGACTGAAGAGATGCCAATGGAGTACACCAATCCTCAGACCACCGAATTTTGCGAGTTGATTGGTATTGAAAATAAATTCGACATGAGTGACGCCGAGCGCCAGGCTAGAATGGCTCGGGGGCCCCGTCCTAATAGCAACAGAGGCGGCATGAACCGTCCTCCTCGTCGTGGCGGCTTTGGACGGGGTCGCGGACGCGGTGGTCGTGGACGCGGCAACCGTTACTGATTCTACGTCTCTTCACATTGCACGTTGCTTATCAAAGGCTGGTTCCATCTGTGATATGGTTGCTCTTCAGCTTCGTTGCGGCATGGCTGACGGCGCAAGGAAGGTACCGCGGATGAGGAAGTGCTGGGCACTTGCCTCTAGTCATCTTTCTTTCATCAAGTCGGCCATGCTACGTTGCTATCTATTGAATTTGTCATCATTTCATTTCTCGCTACCAGTTACGCCCTTAATCTCTTCTATCTGACATCCTAATGGAAGTGGAGTCTAGTTCTACCCATCTCATTAATGTCTCTCACAAAGAAATGGCTCCATGGAAATCGGCCTTCAGTTTCTGTCTTTTATGCCTTGAAATTACGGTAACCCCAGAGTTACTCAGTACATCTCTGACGCGTTCACGATTTAGCTTTTTCCTACTGGATCACAGTACAGACAATGGAAATGAAAATCCAAAGCATGATGTATGAACTTCGCACAGTAAACAGTAAAGTGAAGAGTAAACCGTAACTAATCTCAGTAACACCAACCCAACAATCACTACTATTACTCAATCTCCTCAATCCTTGGCCTCGTAGCCTCATCCCTACCAGAAAGGGGACTAACTCTCAACCCAGCAATGCGATCACCCAATTCCAACCGAGGCTCTTCATCCTCCCCTCTCGCCCCAATCCCCCACAACAGCGACTTCTCCAACCAAGCCTCCAAACTCTCAACCAACACTCTTACATGCCCCCTCACAATCGAGTCCGTCTCCCGACTCTCCACAAACCTCAACGAAGACAACATATGCGGAATATTCCCCACAGTTGCTGCTCCCCCATCCATTCCACCAGACTTCGCATCCGAAAGCGAGAACCCGAAACCTAGCGCCTGACTTCCGCGATTCTCACGAACGGTATCCATAGCTTTGAGAATATCAAGCAGGAGGATAGCACTCGCGCGTCGCAGGATAGCCGACTCAACCTCCGGCTCTAGTGTCAGCGTCGCGAGCGCCAATTCCACAGCGGAGGAGATAACCGAGGGCCCGAGGCCGAGGATATTCGTTTGGATGGCGCTAGCCAGGATGGATAATGCGGATGCACGAACGCGGAGATCCTCAGGTTCGGAGTCCGATGCTGCGCCTGCTGCCCAGGCGGAGAGGATGTTTGCGGAGTGGGCGGCTTGCTCTTCGTCTTCGGAGTCTGAGCCACCATCATCGACTTCCTTCTGGATTTGATCAGATAGTTCTTGGATTTTGGATGTAGGTGTGGATATACTCCATCCTGGAGGCATGGAGGATTCTTTTTTCTGGCGGGCTTGTTCGCGTTCTGCTTTCCGCTTCTCTTTCTCGATTTGCTGTCTGCGTGCCATTTGGGCTTGGGGTTTCTGGGCGCGTCGGCCGGCGACGGCAATCATGCCTTCGGCGAGGAGTTTGGCTGTTTCGCCTGTTAGGGCATCGTTGAGGTCCTGGACCGTGCGGAGAAGGGATTCGCCGATCTTTAGTCTTTGGTCCAGGGTGTGGGTTTCCGTTTTGTCGATGTAGCGGTCCACGAGGGTTTTGATGACCGTGCGCGGGTGGCGCGATGCTAGGGTGCCGATGAGTTTGATGGCATTAAGGTAGATGAATTCGTCGGTGCTGTGGGTTTCGGAGGTGTCGGTTATGATGGATAGGAGGAGTGTGAGGGTGGAGGGGATGTCGAGAACGGGGGAGGCTTTGGTGATGAGGTTTGAGAGGAGGGAGAAGCCTTCTGCTTGGATGGGGGCGAGGTCGGAGTTCAGGTTGGATAGGGCGCGACGGTGGATTTCGAAGTCGGCGATTTCGGTAGTTGGTTTACTTGTTGTGGGGATCTCGCCTTCGGGGTTGGCGAGGTGGATCTCGATGAGCATTGATGATGTGGTTGCTGGTTTGGAGAGGTCGGATGAGAGATGGGGGGTAAGGTCGTCGAGTTTTGACTTGATGGCTTCGAGCACTGGGAGGGTCTCGGGTGAGATGGAGAAGTCGGGGGAGGCGAGAACAGTAGACAGGAGGCTGAACACGGCTGGTAGTGATTCGGCTGAGTCTGTCTCTCCTGCTGCTTCTTCCTTTCCGGTCTCTTCTGGCTCGACAATGTTGGCCAGTGATGAAAGTGATACCTTGCCTGATCGTGTCCCCATGGTCTTCTTGCTCTGCACGTACGCTCGGTTCAATTCACTGTCAATTATCTGCTTGATGAGTTCGAGCACGCGCAGAGGTCGACGGGAAAGGACGTCTTTGAAATTGTCGAGTAGCGTTTCCGCTACCTTGGCACTAATCAACTGCTGCATGATGTTCTTGAAATCGTCTTCCTCGGGGGATAGTCGCAATCTGTCCATCGAACGCTCATTCAAGGAAGGCTTTACCAGCCAATTCTCACTCACGTAGAGGAAAATATCTGCCGTCCGTTCTTCGCTACTAGGATCTGCGCCCAATAAGCTGACGAACAGTTTGGTGCGAGACTGCAATATGTCGACGAGGCGGACAATGTTGCGATTCGTTTCTGACGTGTTGCGCTTCCGCAGCAACACTTTGTTCTTCGAGCCTGAATCATAAGTCCACGTTTGTCCACCATCATAAAGTAGGTTGTCGACGAGCTTTTGTAATGATGGGAGTCCAACTGATATGCCGAAATATGTCTGCAGGATGGTCAAGATTTTCTCATGCAGTGCCAGATTTTGATGTTCCAGTGTATAGCACGCCAGGCCCCAGAGTGGAACGAGAATAGGGTGGACGACTCGCTTCACGAGGCCCGGGTTTGGAGGTTGCAGGACCAAGGTACGCAATCTGTCGACTGCTAATACTATTGTCGGTTCGGCTACCTGTATCTGCTCGGATAAACCACGCTCAAGTTCATCAGGGGCAGCTATCCATTGACTTGAGGAAGCGTCAAGGCCCGCCGTAAGTGCCTTGAAGATGGGCTCCAAGAAGATGGAGTTCCCGACGGTCCCAGGTGCGCCGTAGGCTCTTTTACTCAAGATACCGTTTCCGATAACGTATGCTGCTGTCTTCTTGAGGTCAGGGTCATTCCCGTCAATCAACTCTAGTAGCTGTGGTGCTATTGTAATGAAGTAGTTGGTCGGGTCCATTCCTTCTGGAACTGAAGACAACAGGCGGGACGTTTGCATTATACTCTGTACTGTGAAGATTGGGCCATTCGTTGCCTGGGCCTGAGCTTCGGCTCCTAGGGACGGGGCAAACTGAGAAGCCAAGAAGACCATGGTTTGAAGTACACCACCAGGACGTAAGGGTATTCGTGACAGCTGGCTGGAGACCAGAGACTTGAACCACGGAGCAGGATCCGACTGCAGGAAACTGGACAATGTTGGTAGCAACACAGGGCTGGGAGTCCTACAGCAAGTCAGTAGCTGAGGCAGAAGTATTTATCATAAGCCTACTCTTCAATCAGTCTTCCCACATCCCGACGGTAGATATCCTTTTTATCGTCGGAGAGGCTCTTTGAGTTATAAGCCAGATCTGCAGCTGCACTGATCATATCGCTAAGGACTCGGCCACGAATGACATCTTGGACGCTCACTTTCTTGTCGAATATGATGCTCGAAAGAGCGATCCATATTTTCTCGAGCAGAAATTCGTCTTCGGGACTCTCCTGGGCATGATGTTGTTGTTGAGCAATAACCCCCGCAGGCAGAGCCGAGAACACCCTTTGGTGCAGAGGTAGGCCGAGTCCTCTCGATAGTGACGGGTAGATGCCTTCCACAGCAATTAAATCCAACAGAGCTAGAAGTAGCCTGCGTCTTTTTGCATCTTCCAACGCAACATCTTCCGTTGGCTGGGCAGTCTGGCTGGGAGGATCGCCATCACTAGATGGAGTGACGAAAGCAGTATGGATGAGAGACAGTAGGCTCAAAGCTTTGATGATGACATCCCTTCTCACAGACCCAGTTTCTTTCTCATCGTCACGAAGTGTCTCGTTCAGAATATCTACTAGAGACTGCCCGCGCGACTTTTGGCTCTGAACATTATCTAAATTCTCGGTTAGCTTTGACATTCTGACGGTTCTGGGATCGAGCTTTGCATGCCTCGTTGAAGAACAGAGTCGAGGAACACGCTCACGGCAGCGAATGCGTCTTTTACTCGTACTGATTCATCCATCCTTCAATCATGGAGAGCTCTCCTTCACCCTAATACTCGCATTTACAAATCCTACGTCTATTTCCTTCGTGTCCAGAGAATGGATTAGAAGTGATTACCTAATCACATTATGCCTGCGACTTGCGTATCACATGATGAATTGTGGCTAGTCCTACTTCAGTATAGCGTGTAATGTGCCGGGCGGCAACTTCAATCTTACTGCTGCTTTTGGTAGTATACTGGGTTACTACACCAAAATCGAGTGAAAGAAACAATCTAGTATGATATACATTTATATGCTTACGAGATATGATTTATCATCATCTCAAATAAGGTTGGAGGTATCGAAGTAAAAGTTATTCTCTTGGCCATGATGTCAACCGAAGCAGGAATTCTTTTTCGAACTACTGAATATATAAGTAGCCGTCATATAGCCGCCTGGCAAGTGCGGTTTAGACGTGATCGAATAGGTCGGATCTTCTCTGCCCTCCCTCTCTTTGTGAAGTAGCCAAGAACTAATTGTCTGATTCTGCTAGAAACCTAGCATACATGAAGTGGAAATGTCAACTTAAGACTAGTCGTTTGGCTCCATTGCCCTGGTACGTGGAATCGGAGAGTCACCGTCATGGCGTATATCCGATCATGGCTTTTGCTTGTTGAATAGCGGTTGGCTGCACCGTCCGCGCCAGCAAAAGTCCAATACAAGAGAAGAATACTGGAGACTTGGATATGAGTTTCTTTTTATTGAGACAGTAATGCTTGCTATCTTTGGAATTAATAATGGTGCCAGTTCTATGCGTGGCGAACGAATAACCAGTGGAAGCGCCCATTCAGATACTGCTGGCACCCCATCTCGGTTGTTACCCCGCGTTAAACTGAGTTGCATACTGTGATCGACCGAGATCTCGTTGGGCGTCATATCGCATTGCCCTAAGCTCGGGGGAAGGAGTGAATGACCTTCCTGGACCTGCTGATGGTGACAAAAATGTTGGCACACCGAACCTATTATCCTTGGAGGAACCGTAAACTCGAATGATGTCTCGTGTCTCAATCCTCCTTGCAGTAGTCCCGATCCCGATATTACAAGCACAAGCGGCTGTTCCATGCGAAGAACAAGTCTGGCATGCTGTGTACGGTGGAAGTGGTACCGCATTTTCGGTCCTGTCAATCTGTATCTTGACCTTGCCTGACGAACTATTATTTCGAGTTGCAACTGTAAAAAGAAATAAAATCACACCTTCTTGGTAAATGCTTACTTGATGTTGTGAAAGAGTCTTTCTCGGGATAATGTAAGTTATTCCCTTAATATCCTCTCCGGCACTGAATTCGGCAGAGTCATGCTCCAGTTGGAAGTGAACATCCAATTATGGTTTTTGGATTAGCATTGTGTGTAGAACCAGAGTATAGTACAAAGTACTATGCTCCTTTCATACCAGTGAGCTGCTGGAGTACTCTCCCAAAGGAAGTCATGAAGCCCTGAATTTCTCTCTCTGCGTGATTATATACTTCGGTTATATGGTCAAGGGACGGTCGGCATGTCGTCACGTAACCGATTACAACAGCGTGACTGGATGAAGCAGGAACAGACTTAGGATAATGATATCGGCGGGATACACATCTCAGATATTTATATTGCTCTCTCAAAAAGAACACAACAATTACATTTTTCCTTCGCCCACCTCTATTGACTCCTGCTTATGGGCGTCGCGGGGCCAATTCTAGTGGAAGTTATACTTGGCTAAATTAGACCTCGGCATGTGACCAAGTTGCCGAAAGATGAATAAGAGAGGTGAACTTCGTCTTGCCTTTCGGCGAAGGGTCAGACTGCCGACAACATCGACGCATGCAGGTCATTTCAATAGTCCAAAATAGATTATTTCCCGATGCCTGTCTCTAAGCAGCAACCTAAGCGTGATAATAAGAAGCCTATAGCGTGCGTTACCATTTGGGGGTTTTCCTTAGCAAGTGCGCTGATTAGTTCTCTTCCTGCAGCTGCCACCGTTGTCACGCCCATAAAGTTAAATGCTCTGGCGGACAGCCGTGTTCGAGATGTCGGCGGGCTGGCTGTGATGATGAGTGCCAATACACTCTACGTGATCGCAAGCTAAAGGTGCAAGAGAGGTAGGGACCCTCTCCATCTACCCATTGCTCAGCCGTAGTGTATTCTAATAGACACAGTTACCTCGACGAACTTCTTACTCAAAACGCTCAATTGAGAGAACAGCTACGCTCCATTAGTACCCCTCAGAGCTCATCTGTCACTACTGCCGATGGTTCTGTTCCACAAGAGTCATATCCACCGGTACAGAACCCTCTCCTTGGAGAAAGGGCTTGGTTCTATCCATATGACCCTTCTGCTCCTCCTATATACATGGGTGATGCAGCATGCACGGCGTTCGCGACACGCTTGCGCCAGTTTCTTACGGGGGATCCCAATACGGCACATGTTGCTCGAACGCAATACACCCCCGAATCCTCTTTACTCGAGGGTGCCACTCAATGGCCCGGTCTAGCACAGGCTCGTCTGCTGGTTCGTATTGCTTTCAACCAGTTGAGTCGCGTCTACCATCTGTTTCTACGCAAGTCAACCATTGAACACCTTGAATCTATATACCGCACGCCAGCTCTACGCGACGACCCGGCTGTCATGTGCAAGTTCTTCTCCCTTTTTGCCTTGGGCGAGGTTTATTCTTCTCGGGCCAACTCTTCCCCTACGGGTCGAGTTCCAGGTACGAAGTACTATGTACGAGCAATGGGACTAATCCCAATTCTACCCGAGAGACCAGGTGTTATCCATGTGGAAAGTTTGCTTCTACTGGTAAGCCAATTGCTTCTTCAGCATATCAGAGCAAGTACTAAAAGACATTCATCAGTCGTTGTACTCGTACTTCCTCAACAGACGGCACTCGGCCTATATGTTAGTCGGCAGCGCCATGCGTCTAGGCCTGATCCTCGGGCTGAACCATAATATCCCCGAGCGGCAATGCACGGATCCTATAGAACGCCAACATCGGGTTCGGCTGTGGTGGGCTATTTATGTCTTCGACCGCATGTATACGTCAAAATTCGGGTTCCCGCTACAGATACGCGACGAAGATATTCATGTCGATATGCCCACCGAGGTTGCAAGCCCTGCAGCTGAGGAGCAGTTCTCAGATACAGCTTACTCTGTCGCCAGTATTCGACTGTCGCAGATTATAGGTCAGACCATTGACAAGATATACTGTCGCAAACAGCATGCAGAGTCATTTCTCCAACGGGAGCAGCAGCTCTTGCTAGCTTTACAGGATTGGCTTAAATCGCTCCCAGAACATATAAAACTACGCTCGGAGGACTCTCCTCCGCCAAAGCATATCGTATCATTGCATTTACAATTCAATCAGGTCGGTTTCCTTCTATATCCCCGCTGGGATTTTGCGTTAACAGCACGTAGTGCGTGATCTTAGCCACTCGACCCATCCTACTCCATGCTCTATTACATCACAGCAACCATGATGATAGCGAAGACCTTCCCCAGCCGGTCATTACCCTTAGTGAAGCTTGCATACATGCTGCGCGGCACTCTCATGCACTCATAATAGAGGAGTGGGTTAATGGCTCCCTGCCTATGTACGGCTATTTCTACGCACAGTATTTCTTTTCATCTTGCATTGCCTTGGTGATCTCCAGTCTTTTGCCATCGATCGGAAATCCGGCAGATCTCGAGTCGCTAGATACTGCTACGGAGATTCTGTATAGGATGAGTGAACACGGCAATCTTGCTGCTGCTGAATTCTACGAGAATTTGAAGCGTGTCAAGAAAACGTTGGCAACCAAACCTGGAGTTGTCAATGACAGCCACGAGCGTCGCAGTCAAACACCAAGGCACTCCCTCGCGTCATTACCGGCTGGAGGTCCGGCCGCAGACCCCCATGCAATTGGTATAGTGCCAGCTACGGGTTATACTACCGAGATGGCATTCTTAGAACCGACAATGCAGGATTTTCTCGGCAGGTCGGAGAATGAAATTGATGCTATCCAGCCATATGACCTTTTCATTGATGACCATGCTACTATTGCTGCCTGGCCTGCTACCATGTGGACTTCGTGATCGGACGTATGGCTGTTAATGTCGTCATCAAAAGATTAGAAGCCAGAAAATGATACTGACCTGTATGGTGTGCTGTACGCCCGGTTAAAGTCGCCTTAATACCGCTTAAGGCTTCGGGGTCCACACGTGGGCGCAATATTCGAACCAGATATTGACAGTCCTGCGAGGATGTGTCTATACATTATTGGATAGTGTCCATAGTGTTCCCCACGATCAAGACCGTGTCGGTCTTTGCGATCTCAGACCTTCTTGTAGCACACCGGCACACACATTCACTCATTTGCAGAATACTATACTGTCAAGCTAGCCAATCCTTCCGTGAGGAATCATAGCATCGGACCGGAACGAGTATGCTTGGAGCCCCAGAGCGACTAAGATGCTAAACGGAAGGCTATCTAGATATGCTGAAACGGCAATGCGGCAAAAGAAGTTGCAGAAATGCGAGGTGGAGGCAAGTGGCCACTCATGGAATTTACCAAAGCTCACAATATAGCGAGCCCCTGCTGGCATGAGAAATGAAATCAAATCCAGTAGATTGAGGTCTATCGGGTCAAGTCGTAATGCGCGCTCTATATACTGCCCGCTCTGGAACAGGTGTATTGGATGACGTCATAGAGTCACTGCACCGAGGATGGTTTCTACTTCGATTGTTCCTCGTAATATGTACATTGACAACCAGTTTCAGAATGGGTGAGGCTCAAGCAAAAGCAGTGGCGGATAACAAACAAACAAACTTAATTAGCTGTAGAATCAGTCAAAAAGTGCAAAACATGAGTGACTGAGTGCGAGGACATTCCAGTACTCCTGTGTTTGCAGGCGGCTAGTCATCACGTGATAACGCGTCGCGTCCGTTAGAGGGTCGCATCGAGGCGCATCATTTCCGTCCTGTCCTTTTACTTCTCCAAACACAGCGGCCGTGACATTGGGTGGCTCAACCAACTCCGTGGAGTTATCGATTTCTATTTGTTCAAGACGCTCAGTCAAAGTTGATTCTTCGGAGCTCAAATCTCCATTGGACCCTATACTCCTGAAGATGTGTGGACGTGTTTTCATTGCTCTTTCCGGAGTGCCGCTTGATCTCGCCTCTCCGCCCGCTACGGGCGTCTATACAGATCTCACCCTCTTACGGCTTCTCAAGTTTTGTCTTTCACGTTTTGCTAGGAGCAGGCGGTAAGAAAAAGCTTGGGAACTAAACCCTAATAGATGCCAATCAGTTCGATGCCATTCTATGGTATCAGTTTCACGGTGTTGCATGGCGGATGCACTGATCAGTGGGCTCGAACTCTAGCGGGGTCGACGAAATGAAAGGAATCCGATGTCCAGAGCTTCCTCGGAGGCAATCAAAGACGGCTTGCCATGCGTTCGTTACAAGCTCCTGAAAAGGGCGCGCGTCGGTTTGCCAATGCTGGGCGCTACATGCTGATCATTACGGACTGTCACTCTATGCCAGGAAGACTAGGAGTTGGAGAGAAAGCAGGTGGAGCGTGTCGGGCAACTCTGTTTTGGAGTTGTCTTAGGGAGCAATCCATGGGTGGCAATACCGTGCCATTGAGGGCAATACTGTGGGCATCATTTATTACATGTGCAAGTTGATCATCTCGAATACAACAAAATGCCTACACACGATCATTAACCCGACATGTCAATGGATCCACTCGTCGGAACCAATATAATCTCTCGGTCGTGTCCAGGGACGCCCGTAGTGATTATATTGCAGCGAGGTCCATTTTCACTGTCGGGCAGGATGATTTATGCTTGGTCATTGTCTTCTATGCAATGCCATTCGACCTTTGGCTTGTTGTCACATTCCGGCACTAGATCAATCTTGGCATGTAATGGTGATGTTCGATATGCAGACATTGTCGTTCGTCCACGGTCTTGTGCCTTGTGCTGTCCCGTACATGCTTCCAACCTCGAGGGACCTGGGACCCTTGTACCTGCTTTCTACCTTGCAACTTCTATAGTACTTCATCCCTCTCGGAGGCTAGGTGACACCAAATCGCGGCACCAGCCACTGATTTGCGCTTCTATTGAAGGTCCTGATCGCCCGTGTTAACCGTCTCTTTGCAATGTAGGTTGCGAATAGATGATGGGCGCTGGTACAGACTACGGTTTCGGTCGTGGTCCCTCCCTTTGGGGAGAAGAAAGCGGTTTTTGGGGATGTTCTTTGTCCGCTTTGAAATGCCCCCCAATGTTTCGCTACTGCGGGGAGGAAACAAAAACCTGTCCCTGAGGGTACTGTATCACACACAAGAGGTCGGATCAAGTGGCGCCGGAATGTCAATTGATACGCAGGACACATGTCTAAAAGATGTAGGGAGATGGTGCGTTTGATCCAAGGTTCGACTGGGATGTCTTGGAGAGGTAAAGGGTCGATTTCCCCGCGGAGGTTGTGAGGCATAACAGTGTCATAAACCGCGTTCACTTGACAATTGCATTCCTCAACTGCTCAACTACTTGCCAAAGGTTCTGTGCTACACTGCTCCCACAAACAGCCCGATGATCAGCAGTCGCTGCCTTTCAAACCGAGCGAGCCCTTCTCCCCTCCGTCGTGATGCTCAGGGTCGGTCCAGCTATTGATCGAAGCATCATCTAGCATCGTGAGCTTTGGGGTTCGTACAGGGAATTCGATGCGGGACCCCTTGACGGGGATCAAAGTTTAGGCTTGTCTGCTTGGATTCTATTGTTGTCTTCCGTGCCACGATTGCTTTGGATGCTACTGTTTCTTTCAGGATCGGGCTGAGTTAGCTACGAAGTGAAGGCGCTCTGTTGATATCCACGGTGGCACTGCGTTGAGACTCTGGATTCCATACAGGAAGGGGGCTGGATGTACAGCCTGAAGTATAGTAGCCGAACAGTTGAGGGTGCTTTTAGTCGGTGGACCTGCCGTTCCTCTTCGGGGGAACGGCCCAACTTTTTCTTATAAGTCTCCCCTGTCCCCATAAGTTGGCTTGGCTAACTACAGCAGAACTATTGGACGATAACATACAGTGCGTTTAGCTGAATACACGAACCATGTATAGATGACTGGCTGTCTGTTTCGTTTATCATTACACTATAGTAGATGGGCGATCCCAGTCGGGTTCTCGCTCTGTATCTGGATTCCACCAAGCATCTAAGAAGCTCGCACCTCGGCCCATCACGGACAATGAATGAGGCATTGAGCGACGCTGGTAGCCTTAAGTAGTGAGACGAGCCGAGCCGAGCTATCGCGATACCGACACCCTAGTGCCGCGCATAGAGTTCCCCGGCCCGGACCTCAGCATCAAGCACGGCATCCTAACATCTCACAATAGACGTAAAACATGGCCATGACCATATCAACCGACCACAAAATATACCCATAAAAGCCATCTCACTTTGCAAACGGATTCGCATGAATCGTAACCCTCTCAATCCTCAACGCCTCAAATTCCTCCCCCTCCTTCGGCTGAACCACCCTCCCCTTCTTATCAACCTTAACATTCGCCTTCTCCAACCTCCCCAACACATCCCCTCCCTCATCCTGCGCCGTCAAATTCAACACCTTCCCAAACACCGTACTCGCGCCATCCAAATGCGGCGCCGGCGCAAACGTCACGAAGAACTGGCTCCCGTTTATCGTAGCTCCGGTTGCGCCCTGCGATCCCGGTGCTGTCCTATCCTTCACGGGCCGCGACGCCATCGAGAGGATTCCCCGCGTGTTGTGCTTTAGTGCAGGGAGGTGGATTTCTTGATTCAGCGCTGAGGGGTGGTGGATGGAGGTGCCGCCTTTGGGGATGTCTTCGAAGGGGAGGGGGGGTTTGGCGGACGAAGAGGAGGAGGTGAGGGAGGGGTTCAGGGAGATGTCGCCGCCTTGGATCATGAAGCCTGGTATGAGTCGGTGGAATGGGGTGTTGTTGTAGGCGCCGCTGGCGCAGAGGGCGATGAAGTTCTGTATAGGGAGATAAGGTCATTAGTTTAATTCCTTGCGGGTGAAGCGGAATGCGCAGGGGAAGAAAGTATGTACCTCTGCTGTCTTAGGGACCGCTTCGCAGAAGAGCTCGACCTTGAGGTCGCCGTGGGTTGTGTGGAGCTGTGAGTGGAGGTGGTTAGTAGTGTTCGTCGGGTGCCAAAGTAGTGTAAGTGGAGGAGTGTACTCACTGTTACAGACATGGCGTATGAGTCTGTTCGATCTGCTGCAAGTTAAAAGATAGTAGGATGGGATATGTGGGCGCAATGAAGGACGGGGAGCTGCGGCGATCATCGATGCGGAGCGCATTTATCTGCAGATCACATGACGGTCGTGATATCCCATCCAGCAGAACCACATCCCATTCCTCCATCCCCTTCACGAGATACTCTAGGTTTGGCTCTGGTGTATACGACTAATGAGTGTTTCCGAGTACATTCGATTTGTTTGATTCTGCGATTAGACACACCCAATTCCCTGCGATCAACCATCGTCAACCGCATCCCAATCTACTGCCATCACAATGAACAACAGGCCTGTCGAACAAGCGCTGGCCACGCTACTGCCTACACACGCCCAAGACCTCCCACAAGAACTTCTCAGTCTCGCCATATCACTCGTCGCCCAATCGCGCAGCTTCTCCAGCAGTCTCAAGCCCGAAGAAGAGATCGCTCGGCCGTATGCGTGCGCTGAAATCGCTTGCAAGAGGTGTGTAGAACGCCATTCTTAACAAAGCAGAACCTGGTCAACATGGATGATTCTAACCATTCCTCACGATGATAGATTAACTCGCGCTCTCAAACTCCCTCCTCTCCTTGGCCACCCGCCATGTCCTCCCCGCGCCTACAAAAAGCTCTACGCCTTCCTTGACCGATCCCTATCCACTGGAATTTCCCGCGCAAGTGCCTCAGCCCCAGGGACACCGTCTCGCACCGGATCAGCACCATCAACACCGAGAAAGGGCACACAAAGGACCCCGTCAAAGACTGCCGCAACTGCTACTCCGCGAGGGATACAACAACAACAACACCGACAGAACACACCTACGAAATCCACCCCTCTCAAGCGCGCTCTCTCTCACACCGACAACGACAAACCCTCGCCATCACCTCGACCCCAGAAAATCCCCAAATTCCGCGCAAATGGCCTCTCCGGCTCAACCATCATCCCCGACGCCCCTAGCTGGGTAATGACTTCCATCCGAACAGTTTGCAAGACGCTTTCGACGCCCGCACCGCGCATGAGCACGTGGTCTCGGCCGCCTATCTCGAGGACTCTCCCGCCACATATCTTCGCTGGTGTATCTTCCATCCTGTATATGATTTCCGAAGCGACGGCGATTCACGACGAAGAAATTGATGAGGAGATGTTGGAATTTCTGGAGCCGGTGATCACAGCCAAGGATAAAGAGAACGATGAAGATTTCAAGGACATTATCAATGCCTTGATTGTTGCAGTGTACTTCCTCGTCCTTGCTCGTCGACGACAACCGGGCCCTTCGTCAACTGGGGATAGTGCCGAGGCAGCGGAAGCGAAGAAAATGGATAAGAAGACGTTCTCGGAGATGCGACAGACTGCGCTGGTTAGTCTTGGGCTTCCGTCGACGGAGAGGCGGCATCGGGAGGATGTGGATCAGTGGATTGCGCTGGTTATGGAACAGGGGTGGGCTCATGGGAAGGAGTGGTTTGAAAATGTGCCGTTGGCTGGGGAGTTGGACGGAGATGAGAGGGATTTAGGGGATGAACTAGCGGGTGGGGTTGTCGAGGAGGATGGTGGTAGGGGCAGGTTGATGGTGTCTGGTAGGGGGGCATTGATTGCGGGCCAGTCTTCGAGGCGTGGGCTGCTTCCTGGGTTGGGGACTATGATGCAGGATCGGGTGGATTGGTTGAGTGAGGATCGGAGGGAGGATTATCTTGAGTGGAAGGCGGATATGGTGGCGCGGATTGAACAGATTGAGAGGACGGCTCAGGCTGTGTAAGAGGTATGGAACGCTATAGATTAAATTAGAAGAGATACCCATGAAGTGAGATGATGGTTTTTTTGGTGTAGAACAATATTGTAGTTGTCCGGGTTAGTTGATTGTAATTGAATAATTAGAAATCCTGTACAAGTCCCACAAATAAGGGTAAAGTTAAGAAAGAAAGAAGCAATGCTATGGTATCATTATCACAATGTATGCAAGTCTATTCCCATCACCCACCCGAAAAGCAACCCTTGAACAAATTGCGTGGCCAAGTAAAGCAACGGGGTATAGCGTTGGAAAACCGATAGAGACAAAATAAAACGCAGATGATATGCTTTGCCGCAAGTCTAATACCAGATACTCCTTGTCCGATGATGCGGGATGGACTCCTTTCCGGCCTTCTCTAATTCTTTCATGGTGTCATAGAGGAAGAAATCTATCAAGATAGCGTTCACGCCCATTCCGGCCGGTTTTTGGACGGGCTCCTTCTTGACAAACTTCTGGGTTGAGCATTTCTGCTGATGGTCTTCGGTGTCTTCCTCTTCTTCTGACGCCGTGGGTTTGTTGGATTTCACTGTCGGGTTCACCATGGTTTCTGGATGTCGGCGTTCGATTTCCCTTCTTATCAATTCGACACACCAGATACTGGTAGCTCGCAGTTCAATTTCCCAATTGGAGCCACTAGGTATCGGCTGCAACCTGCGTATGTGGCTTTCCAAGGGCGGCGAGTATGACATACAGCCGAGTTGGTGCAGCATCTGAGGGATTCGATAATCTATAGAATATAAGCCAGAGTTCAGGGAAAGTAGTCTGAAAAAGAGATCCCAAAAGACTTACCCGCAAACATGGTGATTTTGTCGATATCATTAAACTCTCCATACCCCTCACCGTTGAAGCAAGCCCAAAGGTCCGCAACCAAGATCTGAGCCCGCTTGTAGATTCGCACTCTCCGCCCGTGGAAGGTGGTTTCGTCCCGAAAGCAGGAGAAGCTCTCTGCTAGCAAATTGACCAGCGAAGCCGCAGAGTAGTTAGAGTTGTAGATGCAGTTCACAAAACTACCTTCATACTCCTGCAGACAAGGAATTCATTAGCACCAGATGCGGGGGAAGTAAAACATGGTGAAAGACATACTCTGCAAAGAACGCGACCTGCCTCTCGCAGGCATTGAAGGCGTTCCTGAAGCATAGGAATCTCTTCATCGGTGGCAGAGCGAAAGACATGCTTGATGAGTTCCTCGGTACATTCATCTTCCTTGGTCCAAAACTCCGGAGTGGTGATTGGAATGTCTTATAACAGTCAGCTTCTGGCGTGTCTTGCTCAACAGGCCGCATATAGACTTACCCTCATCCAAAGCTCTCTGTAAGGCAGCAACCAAGCTCCAGTACCCCGTCCACTTCCTTCCTCGGTACTCAATCGCGAAACGCTTCTCGCTAGGGAGCTCGGACCAGAAACTGAAATTGAGGAGATCCATAGTGAAGATGAAGTCGACCGTGTTCTCGTCTTTCGTTTTTGGGTGTAGTTCGTGCTCCGTCCATGTCTGTGTGGAGTATTCCTTCTTCTGCATCAGGTTCCATATCGTCTCCGCGGCTTCTTTCGTCTTGTGGGGGTTCAATGCGACGTCGATCGCATTGTCGAAAGCATATTGCGCATTCTCCAGCACTTTTGTCTCTGCGGTTCGAGGATCTGAAGAGCCTCCCAATCCCAGTGTCTTGCGCAGAAGAGCAATCAACTCGGGGTCTGCTTCGTCGTCCGACATTGCTCCAGGGGACAGGTCTTGCCCGATGACACTTTTTTTGCTCGGTTAGGTGCCAACAGATGTCTAGGGGGGATTTTGCGAAGAAAAGATCGAGAAACCAGCGAACTCCGCGCTCACTGCAGAGGGGATAAAGAGGAAAGGGGAGGGAGACGAAGGGAAAGAGAAAAACGGATTGAAAATGGGAAATCCCCACGAGCAACAGGCACCGGCAGCGAACCGACTGTCTTTGGATCAAAGACGGTTGTTGCCAGAAAGGGCGATCGGGCCAAAGGCAGGCTCCAAAGCGAATCTCCCAGTGGGGATTCACGCACTACCAAGTGATTAATCTACGGAATGAAACCCTCTAATGCTATCTAGGAAGAGACCTGCTTTGCTTTTGGTTTTTTACTTTCTTTTCCTTCAGTTCTTTTATCGGGAATTTCCAGCTTCAACTTTTTGGGACGATAAGCGCTGGTTATGTAAGCAAGGGTATCTTATCTCTTCGCCGGTGCCACTTTTTAAGACTTCTGGTGACAGTCAATTAATCTGTTTGGTAAATCATTGGAGAAACCTTTGTTCTTCTTTTCCGCGATTAATGTACCTCGGAAAAGACTTGTGGTTGAGGCTTGGACGCACACATTCCCGGAACAGCCTGTCGGAATCATGGAAGCATACTGGCCTTGTTGGATGTTACACAGCAAAGTCAGCCACTGTTCCTTTTTTCCCCATCCTTGACTCCATTCAGATGCTTGCCTTGTTCCGCCAATCAAAAGGCCCGTCGTTCAATGCTTATACTTTATGGAAAGCAATTACTGGTAGTTTAGTGTGATAGAGTCCACTATGGATCTTAGTAGTCTCGAAGTCTGTCTGTTTTAACGATACGCGACTACTAGGTTGTCCGATCATACAACTACAGAGTAGACATGTGCGCAACATCCTGATGCGACAAGTGAGCTATCTCTTATAGCATAATTAGATATAGAAGGTGACCTGCTACTGGCTCTGATGCTGCTGTACCCTTTATTCCCTGTCGAACAGACAGCCTGCTTTCGATATTTATTCTGCGTTTCCTGCAAAGCACGTTAGTACTGAGCACGCAAGCGCCCCATGAATGTTTTCTGCAACTCCGAGGATGTTTCGCTGACTGCGACCAAACAGCGGACCATAGATAGCCCGTGGCATCCCACTTTGATGGTAAATAGCTGTGGTTCATAATGATTAGGTAAAGCCATTCACATCATGGAGAGCGCTATGAGTAAAGAATAACAGTCGTTCTGGCACTTTACTACGAAGAACAACGACACATTATTCTAGGACAGCACGTCTTCTGAGCACTGCCGATCTGTCAGCCTCATGGTCTGGCCGTAAGACCTGGAGGGAATTTGATGGACTCCACGGCCTATACTTCGTAGAAAAGCTCGACATCCATCAAGTAACGCCCCCACTATGAAAGATCCAGAACATGCAAAGTACCATTGTTGTCCTCTGATTTTTGGCGCTGGGCATTCAGCTCCGGCATGAGAACCCCTGCTAGCTCTATACCATGCATGAGTCGCCCAACCATCGTGGAGGAGTAAAAGGCAGGAATGTGAGCTCTCACATGCTGGGCTCGAGAGATGCATCAGTCGTATTTGAAGGTTGGCGACATTGCGCGGAAAGAAGGGCGAAAAGTACCTGATAGCAACATCTGACTGGAGTAGTAAATAGACGGGTTGATAGTCGAATGGCCTCGTGTCGGTGCGACAAACAGGGAAATGCGATCGGATGCGGGACGATCGCCATCAAGACTGGCCGATCCTCTTTGGTTGCATCGGACAAGACGAAGGTGACTAGAGATTTCCCTTGAATTTTTGTATTTTTAAATTTTTGCATCAGCCTGCAGTCAAACATCAATTCTGTTGCCAGGCATGAATTGGATTCACCCGGGATCCCCCACCCTGGGATGATGATGGGGGTGAAGGGGAAGAAGTACTGCAGCTTGGAGTATTCGGGTGAAGTTGAAGTGGGCTCGGGATTGTTACTTCATTCTTCCTGACTTCACTTCCTGGACTGCTTCCGGTCTCCCTCCTCTCCGCCGGAGCTTCTTTCCTACTTTCACTTCTGCCTCTCACTGTCTCCTACCTACCTCCATTCCCTCAATTCGCGCCTTGCAAACAGCTCCTTTGTTCGGCGATGCCTTTTCGCCCGCTCTGACACCGATAGTCTCCGTTTCGATCTACTTTCCGTCTCCGCGCCGCAACCATGACGCGGGAGACTTATCTTAAGCGCTCGCTCGGGACTCTAGCCAGACGAATCAAAGAGGTACCGCTCCCCATCCCACCCCACGCTTATCCTCCTTGAGGCTTCGCTTTTAGCTAGAAGCTCAGCTGGTGCATAACCATGCTAACAATTTCCCTTAATTTGTTTTTTAGTCGCGCGTGCTTCTCGTGGGTGCTGGTGGCATCGGATGCGAATTGCTGAAGAACCTCCTGCTCTCCGGATTCGGCGAAATCCATATCATCGACCTCGACACAATCGATCTGAGTAATCTCAACCGCCAGTTCCTGTTCCGCTTCGAACACATCAAGAAACCCAAAGCATTGGTGCGTCAATCTCCGAACGTCATACTACCTACATCCCCCCTCATCTCCGTCCTTTCCACCCATCTGAACGAGGTTCTGACGGTGGGTGGCGCTATAATTAGGTTGCGAAGGAAGTCGCCCACAAATTCCAGCCCAGTGCAAAGCTTGAAGCATATCATGCGAACATCAAGGATGACCAGTTCAACGTTGACTGGTTTGCGACATTCGACGTCGTCTTCAACGCTTTGGACAATCTCGATGCTCGACGTCATGTGAATAGGATGTGCCTTGCAGCCAATGTGCCGCTAGTGGAGAGTGGAACGACGGGTTTCAACGGCCAAGTCCAGGTGATCAAAAAGGTGCGCCTCCGGTCCATATCGTCTGGGTTTCTCCAACTGGGTAGGCGCGACCACTGACAACTGCTAGGGAGTCACGGAATGCTACGATTGTAACTCCAAGGAGGTCCCCAAGTCGTTCCCGGTCTGCACTATCCGCAGTACACCCAGCCAGCCGATCCACTGTATCGTCTGGGCTAAGAGCTACCTTTTCCCGTATGTTTATCAGGCGAAACCACATGGATAACTGCTAATGTGTCATAGTGAGCTCTTTGGCATCAGCGAGGATGACTCAAGCGAATTTGACCACTCAGAAGATGCTGAAAACTGTGAGTTGGAATCTCGGCGTTTAGTGACACTGGCTAACTCGTACTAGCCGAAGAAATCGAGAATCTTCGCAGGGAGGCTCAGGCCCTCAAGGAGATCCGTCAATCCATGGGCTCCGACGAGTTCGCGCAGAAAGTATTCGAGAAAGTGTTTCAGGAGGACATAGATCGGTTACGGGGCATGGAAGACATGTGGAAGACACGAGATCCTCCGGAGCCTCTGGATTTCCGCAAGCTACAGGAGGAGTCTTCCAACATCGAACCTGTGGTTTCATGCAATGACCAGAAAGTCTGGACTCTTGCTGAGGACTTTGTCGTCTTCAAAGACAGTCTGGATCGATTGAGCAAACGGCTCAAGACCCTGCAGGACACCACGAAGAGTGACGTGAAGCCTATACTAGTTTTCGACAAGGACGACGTCGACACCCTGGACTTCGTCGCCGCCACTGCCAATCTGCGAGCGACCATCTTCAAGATCGATCCCAAGTCCAAGTTCGACACGAAACAGATGGCTGGCAACATCATCCCGGCTATTGCAACCACCAACGCAATGACGGCTAGTCTCTGTGTTTTGCAGGCTTACAAAGTTTTAAGAGGGGAGTACGACCAGGCCAAGATGGTCTTCCTCGAACGCAGCGGTGTTCGTGCAATCAACTCCGATTCTTTGCAACCTCCGAATCCCAATTGTCCGGTGTGCTCCGTTACTCATGCTAGGCTGAAGATCGACCCTCAGCGCGCGACATTGGACAACCTGGTCCAGGATATCCTCCGGTCGCAACTGGGTTACGGCGAAGAGTTCTCCATCAACACCGAGCTAGGAACCATCTATGATCCCGATCTAGAGGACAACCTTCCCAAGAAATTGACCGACCTCGGTGTCAAGAACGAGAGTTTCATCACGGTCATCGACGAAGAGGATGATCAGCCCCGCGTCAACCTTGAACTCATCGTTCTCGCGACTGACAGCTCCCAGTCTTCCACAGAAGCCGAGAAACCCGCCTCCCTGGAGAGTGTTCCCGACATTCCCCGCAAGCCCAAGGCCCCCGCACCTGCAGCCCCCGAGCCGGAGCCCGTCAACGGAGCAGGCAAGCGGAAGCGTGACGCCGACGAAGCCGGACTCAGCAACGGCGACAACCCAGCCAAGCGAGTGGCAGCCATGTCCATTTCGGACGGTGACGGAGCCAACCCCATCGTCTTGGACGAGGCGACTGGCGGCGCTATCCTAATTGATGATTAAAATGATACCAGGTGGGTAGTTAACGGGGGTTCGGGATCTTCGACTAACTTGTTGACATTCATCAATTGCTCTCTTGGCTTTGCAGATCTGGCGCATGATTTGGGTTTTGTTGCTTTTGTCTGTTCCTGTTTACTATTCTCATGTAAAATACTTTGACGCTACTTGCATACACAAACCCCGCATGATCGGTTTCGATAGAATGGATGATTACTAGCTATTTTGTTGTTTATTTGCTGTCGGGATGCTAGATAAATGAACAGCATGAAAAGGAGAAGGCGCTCTTGTTAGATACAAGTCACTCCTCACGTATCGTACACACATAATACAGTCCAGTTAATAATACTACCATACCAAGTATCCATACCCTCCGAATCCATCACCCAAGATATAGACAGTATGCTTCGCTAGATGGCACTCAGCCCCCCATCCAAATTCAACACACAATTATTCGCATACTCATTCTGTGCCAAAAACACCGCCGCATCCGCAACCTCATCCGGTCTCCCGAATCGTCGCACGGGGATACTCTCCTTCAGACGGGCTGTTTCGCCATCTGAGAAATCTATTCCCAAATCAAAAAAGCATCAGTAACCCATCCTTACTACATCCTCAATAAGATATAACAACGAAGGGATAGGAAACGAAAAAAAATGAAGAAAGAAGGAAAGACAAACCAGATATCATAGGCGTCTCAATATACCCCGGCACAATAGCATTAGATCTAACCACCACATCACGCAGTGAAGCGGCCGCTTCAACGGCGACTGATCTCGTTAGGCCGAGGACTCCAGCTTTTGAAGCTGCATAAGGAACGGCCCCAGTTCCAGATTTGTGTGCTAGCAGGGAGGAGATGTTGATTATGCATTTAGATGCTGCGGTACTTCCACTGGAGATGGGAGTGCTAGATCTCTTCATACGATTGCGTATCGATGCGCGGATGAAGGCTCGAGACGTGAGTAGCGCGCCCTCGAGGTTCGTGCGCAGGATGCGTGAAATATCTGTGGGTTCGGATTTAGGAAGGATCGAGGAGATGGAGAGGCCGGCAGCGTTGACGAGGATGTCTGGGTTTGTTGTTTGCTACATTTATCATTGTGAGAACTATTCTGGTATCTCATCGGTGTTGTTTGTAAGAAGGTAGGTAACTTACCATTGCTTTCTCGAGCTCTCGCGTCCATGATCCTGCTTCGGCGATGTCGCCGATTAGTAGGCTGATTCTGGATGAGGATTCGAGGAGCTGGTGTTGCTCTGGGTTGGCGATGAGCTGGGGTGGTTCCGTGGACGGGATTTCAGGGGACTCGATCTGAAGTCGAGATGCAGCGTTATAGAGTCGCTCGTAGGACCGTCCGACTAGGATCACGCGTGCGGCACCCTCTTGGAGGAAGCGCTCTGCGATGGCGAACCCGATGCCGGACGTTCCGCCGGTTATCATGCATGTTCGGTTGGATAAGCGGTTGGAGGGGGTGAATTGGGGTGATGGAGTCTCGCTTGGGGTGGAGTATGCTCGTTGAGTAGAGAGTGGGAGGTAGGGGAAGTGACGTTGAGGTGTGTATGTGGGATTGGCTTGAAGCCGGGCGGTTCCCCCGCGGAGGCGTAGGATCTTCCTTTGGTACATGGTATGATGATCTGGTTTATAGCATCTGTGACTAGGGAACGGACGAAGTGTATAGTCCTCTTGAGGAATACCGAATTCCTCCGGTAGTTTTGCACAGAGTGAAATAAAACTACAGCCTGATCAGTCGCTGTGTATTATGAAAGTGATCCATAACTTACTACTCTCTACTTAACAAACCCTTTTGTCACACGACACCGTAACTAACTGCGTAAACCTTTCTCCGCAACAGACATCTGAATAAAGATAGACAATCAGAAGAAGTGACAGCATCGGCATCGGAGCTTAAGCACGGACCACACCGAACCTGGAGCCTACGAACTTTACTACCGCAGCCTAGTTTAATCGCGGAACCAAAGCCGATTACTCACTTATCGCCGCCCCGCGCCGCGTCTCGTACCTTTGCCAATTCCATCCATTTCCATTTCTCTCGCTTGCTCCATCTACTTATTTCCCTATCCCGCCACCCACTCCCTCACACCATGTCCGCTTCAAATCCCCCCTCACAGTCCGAATACGTGACCCTAGTATCCGGTGATGGATTCGAATTCGTCATCCCGCGCAGCACAGCCTGCGTGTCGGGGACGATACGTCGCATGTTAGAGCCGTCTAGTGAGTCTTGTCTCCTCACATGTGTGTTTCAGTGGTGGCACTTGCTAACAACTCCATTACTATATAGGTCGCTTCTCGGAATCCGTTACCGGTCGATGCGTCCTCGAGAATATTAGCGGTATTGTGCTTGAAAAAGTATGCGAGTATTTCTGCTACAATGAGAAGAATAAGAACCAGACATATGTTCCGGATATGGATATCCCGCCGGAGTTGTGTTTGGAATTGTTGATGGCGGCGGATTATTTGGATGCGTGAGGTGATTTGATCTGATCCGTGGGACTTTCTATAGTGTAGGTGAGTTGAATTAGGTTGCGTTGGTTGGCGTGGGGGTTAGTACTGATTGTGGCACTAGGTTTATTGCAGTGGGCTGGCTTGGGTTTACGAATAACGCGACACGATGGCTCTATGCTTCTATTGTATATCTTATGGAGTTTGGTGGTTGTGGTTTGGTTTCAGCCTTTTCACACGGTAGGGTGGCGTTAGAATCTGGGTATAGAACTTGGAAGAATAGACGGGTATCTCGCTGTCTTTTGTCCCTGTTTCGGACTTTTCCCACCGCATATTTGATCTTGCTTGGTCAGTGAGCTGTAAATGCCACTGCCTCGCCATCTGAGCATCTATATCCGTTCTTTGTGCCCTGTGGACGGATATACTAAAGATGATGGCAGATTGTTACCATCCCCTCTATTCAGTCCGCGTCCTTTCTGGTGGATCTCGGGCCTTATTCCAGGGGAGAAATGCTCTTATCCCTTCAGTTGCTATATTTAGCATGAGTTGTATAATGGAACTTCACGCCCTCAGCGCCCTTTTGGCCGTGGACGCCAGGGTCCCTTGTTTCCTTTAGCGTTCTTCTCCTTGTAGAGCTTCTCCTTGCCGAATGCCGAGTCCGCGATGCGGAGGTAGCTCACAACTCCCTCGTCTACTACAGCCAGGATCACATTTCTGTATCCGTACCGGAGTCGCTGGTACAGCTGGCGACTCATCTTCTCGCCCACCGGTGGGTCAAGCGGGGTGCTCTCGAGCAATGCGCCAAGCTGAGCTGATGTCGGAATTGTGGTGTGCGTGCGTGCATTCACAACGGCGAGCCTAAAGTCGGGGGTCGGAGGGGCGGATTTCTTGAATGGTGTGGATGGTTTGTAGATATGGAAGACTACACGGTAGGGCGGGGTCGTGGGAGGCGGAGGAGATGGTGAGGCAGTCGGGTCATACCAGGGGATGATAGAGAGCTTCTGATATATGTCATCTGAAACATTGTCAGCAAATCGCAAGCGCAGTGGCAAGCAGGAAACGTACCATAACTGCGATGAATCCCAAGCCCCACAACAGGCCCCAACGCAGTTGTAGCGCTACCAGGTTTGTACAGCCACTGCAAAAGCTGTCTAAACACCCCAGCAATCCCAAGACCTAGACCCTGAGGCTTCTCCAGTACGGTTTGCTGTGATTCGCTGGTCTCTGCACCCTCCTCTCCATCGTGCCATCCCGGGGCACGAATGATCGTATACCCCAACCGCCTCAATCCCGCATAAACCGAGTACCGCTCACTAGTCAGACCGCTCCGCCCCATAAAAGCCGCATAAGCAGCCTGTAAGCTCATGGGGATTCCAGAGTCGTCCGCTCCCTCCTCGTCAGCACACCCGACCTCCGAGCAGGGCCACCTGATATCTAGAGTCCCTCTCTCAAGCAGATATAGAGCCTCCTCTGGAAGTAGCCATATGCGGTTCCAACGATCTGCCTGACCTATCGATTTGAAGTACTGTCCCTTGGGGGTGGGCACATAGACACATGAGTCGGGATGGACGCCCATTTCCGTGCCTGCGGGTTTCGAGGGCTCCGACTCTTCAGTAATCGTATCTAGCTTTTGGGCAGATCGCGGCGGGACCGGACCATTGGGAGAGTATATTCCAATCACTTGTGTCTTTGGGTGGTGTAGACGAGGGTACGAGAGAGCATTGTGCATGGCCTGCCGCGAGGCGGAGAGAATGTCGGCTTGAAAGAGCGTCGGGTTCGGTTCGAAGTCCTTTTCACCGCGTTTGGGGAGACTTTGTTGAGATCCATCTGTAAGGCTGTTTTCTCCATTGTTAGCATGTTATATGCGCATTTAGCTGTAAATGAGGCAGGGACCAGAAGAAACGCGTGGTAGCACTGACAAGGAAATGCTATTCAGCATGCGGAAGTCCTGAGTCTCATCGGAGAGGTCGGTGTCAATGTGAGCGCTCGCATCCTGCGAAGGCATATGAATGACGGCCTCATCTATGTCAGCCATTTTGATTCCAGCCGACAATGACCCAATTAAAAGAGCATGTAGTACTGGTTGGGGATGCAAAGCGCGTGAGGGGAAAGCGAGAGTGGAAAGAAAGTTAAGCTGCGCGGGCGGATCGATATCCACTTCCGATAAGAAAATCTGAACGCACGGGGTTTAGTTCCGGGCTTAGCCTGCGGTCTGCCTTCAAACTTGCAGTTCCAACCAGTTCTGGTGAAACAATTGGAGGGTCCAAATCAATTGCTTTCTTTTTTTCGTTAGTGTATCCAGGTATGCCTTCTGCGGGGCTCTTCTTGGACTGCTTCTTCATCAGTTGATGTTCCAACATTGAAACAAATGGAAATTAATGATCAAGCCGGATAGAGCTCATCAAGATGCTATTCTGTAAAAATGTACATATCGCCTTTACTTCGATTATATCTATATTATATCCTTGGTATAGCTTGATGTCGTCATCGTAGTGAAGATTGTACTGTAGTTTAGTCTTATCTTCTCTAAAGTACATTATTGCATGTTCATCTTCAAGGGCAGAATTCACCATCCCTGCTGGATAGTAAAAGCATATTCACGACACTCAAACAGAGCAAATCTGCCCATGTCACACATCGATAGACCGCTTTTGTGTGAGCGTTGACGACTGACGCCTAAACCTCTGGCCCAACTTTCTCCTCTGCTTATCAGATCCGACAACCGCGGGGAATCAAAAGGGGCCGCACCACCACCATAAAATCTCTTGATTTTGCTCCAGTAGCACCTTCCATACCCATATCTCCAAAATGACAGACCCTCGTCCCGACTATAGAGAAATCTACATCCAGGTAAGTCTTTAAGTCACGCACATACAGTCATAACGTGTCTGCCCCTCTAACGCAGTTTAGATGATGACGAATCTCGGCAATGCATACACTACATTCGGTCCTAAGTCCCCCCAATACCAGAGTATTGCGGAAATGGTCAAGGAATTTACGAGACGTGTTGAGAAAGACATGAAGGAACGCAATTGTCGCGATCTTGATGATACCTTGAGCTCTGCTATGGAGTTCTTGAAGATTGGGGAAGGACCATGAAATTGACTGGGGATGGATGGCTCGAACTTCTTGTTATCGGTTCATGACGTTCTGAGTCGTTGTTTATGCGGAGAGTCTATGTCTTGACAAGCGTATTGTATGGCTGCTTAGTTGGATGCGCCCTCATGTATTATGCTACGATGTTCTACGAATACCCTACAGATTTTGAATGTTTTCAATACAGGTGCAGTGGTAGATGAGTGAAGATATACGAGCCTCTTGCCTCATTGTATTCGCGGCTCTCGTTGTATTTCGTTCCAGAAATTAGCATCGCTATATAGTATTCCAGATAGTCGGCCTTGCGTGATAAGCAAGAAATATTGTGGACTATGCGGACGGGATCATCTATCTGCCCTGTCTGCCACATGTTGAATCCAAGTCTAGCTGCTGAAAATGGGTCCCTTCTCTTTCGCTTCCAGAATTGAGCCGTAAAAGGTAGATCTTACATATTATATTGCGCATGCACAACTAGAACATGCATGGGAAAGCATGTGAACCAAACCAGAATGGAACCTCTCCCCCGGCCTTTTCCTCCGTGTGAAGCAAAGGCAACCCAAACACCCCGTTTTTGCTCCGGCCAACAAAATATGGAACGAAATGGCTACCAGGAAAACCATGCAACGACAAAACTCCGTAGTCCATGCATTCGTAAGACGTAATGACGCTTTTTGCGTCACAGCAAGCACGCCGAATCGGAAAAGAAATATACGACGCGGTCAGGCTCTATCGGCGCGTATATGGCGTTGTCCTGGGGATGGCGCTGTAAAATGGCCCGATTACCCCGCGGCTGAGCAAGCGTGGGCATCACTTGGTTGAAAATCGTGGACATGTGAGTCCGAACTGAAAATTGAGGCTCAGTCTATGAGAGGCTTCTTTTGATTGCCGACAATGGCCACACCCAGATGACGAAGAGCATTGGGATCGCTGGGCCGCACGATGGAAGGAAGTGGCAGCATGGGATTATCTGGATTAATATGAACCGCTTCGCGGGCAGCCTGTTCGATAGCATCCATCTCCTCTTTGCAACCGGCATGATCAAGAGGACAGACAACTATGGGCTGTCGAATGACGATATCTCTGGCGGACGTCAAGTGGGCCTGAAGATTGTTAGCCAAAGTCACACGACTGCACCTGCAAGATGGGAAGACGAACCTTTACTGTCAGGTAGTATTCGATCTTGTAAAGGCTCGCCGTAGTCGTAAACCCAGTCACAGCGTAAGCCGGAAAAGCCATATCGCTTCTGGGGAGAATGCCCTTGGAATCTCGAAGATCCTTGGCAGGAAATACTAGACCCAGATTTGTCAAAAAGCCTGACGGGGGTAGCTTAACCCCAATCGGCTCTGTCCTCTTCGTTAAGGTCCTCACTTTCCGCTGTGGCTCATCACCTTCATGGTTGTAGATGATCTCCTCGTCGATCCCAATCGTTATCTTATTTATCGTGACTTTCCTGGCTTTGCCTATCCAGTCGAGATTGGGCGATAGTTTCACGTAAACGCTCACCGGGTCAAGGGGACCGTAAGACCACCGAGGCAAGGATATGCCCAAGGTGACCAGATGGTCTGACACCCTTTCCGCCGACTCGGGACGGTTGTACATTCCAAATGTGGAGAGTGTGTCATATCGGGAGATGGGAACCGGGAATGTGTATTTTCGCTGATCCGAATGACCCTGTTGAACCATGACCACTATTTCATAGAATGTCTCTGCGGTGCGACTAGGGAGTTGCAAACTGGCGGGTGGGACTCTTCTCGAGGCATCTGGCCCTCCGCGCCCAAATGGAATGAAAAGGACGAAGGGCAAATCCATTGATATCACTTCCTCGTACTCTCGACCCGCTGGGCAGCGGAAGAGGAGCATCTCCTTGCCCACAATATCGGTGATCTCCTTCCTAGGGGGCGCAAGATGCTTCTTTGTCACGGAATCGGCGGAGGGATGTATTGTCTCACGTCGATGAAGGGATATGGTAACGAGGGACACATTGACGGGAGCTGTGATGCCGACGCTAGGCCTGATCTCAACCTTGCCTTCGATACGTGGCTTCTGGAGGTCAGCAATGGCTGTATGCATCGAAGATAGAGTAGATAACAGTTGGTCCTCACCATTGTTGCAGATATACCGGGGTAGCCGATCAGAAAATGGCCATTCGGCGGCCCCGACACTCGCACGAAGGCGGCCATGCTGAGAGCACTGCTACCGCACCACCATGGGCACGCGGCGGGTGAGAGGGATGCGCCCCGGGGATTCTGCGGAGAATATGCGACCTCGATGAGCTATAGATCGGCGGTAATCTCATAGAGAAGCCGAATATCGTGAGCAAATCCCGCTTAATAGCGCTGCACCCAAGGTATTGTGAGGGCGCAGTTGCGGTACACCCCTCTCGTTGCTATGGAACGTGAAGTTCGGACCAAGTCTGGGCGAGGCTAGGCGATTACGGCTTAGGGTGCGGGCGGCGTCAGACAGGAATTCGGAAGCGGCAAAGGAGGGAAAACGGGGGTAGAGTCGAAAGATGCTGGAAAGGGAGAGGAAGCCGGTGTGACGTTGGTGAAGCAATCGAGGGTTGTTTACAAGCGCTGATGTGGGGAGGGGAGAAGGTGATGGGGACCATCTGCGGCGGCTAAGCAGGTTAAGTTCCCAGCGGCAGCCACGGAACTACTTGAACTTGACCTCTTCCCCGACCCTGGTCAGGCCAGCCAGCCGCGATCCTTTTGCTCAGTACGGAGTATACAAGGAACTTACTAACTCCCCACTAACTCATCACCAATTCATGCCCCTTGTCATACTATCTTAGTATCACTACCTGCAGTGCATTCTGTCCTCGGAGACAGCTGATGACACATATCAACTTCTTTTAGAGTCATTCCACTAATGATTGGGCTCTCCACTAGGCAGAACATTTTAATTTAACTATTGATCGTCATTCATTTATCAACAATCGGGGCTTGGATGATGATTATGCAGTGTGAAACGACGAAGCCATTCTGGGCGGCAAATCGATTGCATACAGCCTTGGTTGCCGCCTGGACGATTAATCATCCTTCTGTACAGCAAACGCACCCTGGATAGTACATTCCTAGCTGGCCGCTCCCGAATGTGTTCCATATGAGCTCTTATCAATCTGCTCACAGTAGACTCAATTAGATCAAATCTCAAGTCTCATGCATTCTCTGTTAAATAGAGCTGGGTCGCTGCCCATGCGCTGATCCATACTTGGATGGATTCCACTTGGAGCTCCCCTGCAAAAAGCGGTCAATCGTGTGCCTTCCGCCCTGCAGGTCTGCTCTTATCAATGATGCCATGTGACTGACCCATACTGGCGATAAGCAGGTACTTCAAGTAGACTCTCCATCAAGGATTATCAATCACAACCACGGAATTTCTATAGGCTATGTTGAATAGTGACAAGGGCATGTTGTTGATATTCTTAGTAGCCAAAACAAAGCAGGTGAGATTAGTAGTTTATCGATGTACAAGCATGGTAGATAAACGACAGATTACTACATCATAGTGGCACGCGCAATTTCACCTTAAATGTGATCTTCTACAAGATATTCCCATCGAACCACCGAAGTGGATACTCCCTCAGAATCCGAACAAGGCCCTTGGTCAGCTGCAGGCCGGGAGGCTACTTCGTCCACGGACTTCAGGTACCACTATCTACCCCGCAATGTAAGCCTGCTGATTGGCCACGTGAGGAACATGCAGACAGGCTGACTAGCTGGATGGTTCTATATCTAGTCAAGTATATAATAAGTTAAATATTACTCCAGCATACCTTTAAGCAGGCAAGAAAGACGAATTTGTGATGGTGTTCCAGGGGTGATAGAACTGGATTGGGTTGGTGGAAGTAAATCCGGTAGCGGCGGTTGCCATGTGCAACAAGCATGATGACATCGTCTCCCCCACACTCTCAACCAGGCCTGGCCCAGACGTAGTCCTGGATTTTCCTTCAGCCTGGACTCTTCTCATTAAACTGCTGCACATCATCTACATACCCTTTGATAGCCGACGCTATTTCATCAAAGTCACAAAATGCCTCCCTCTCGTCGCCGCGGTGGCAATACTGCCGCCACCCGTTCAAACCAGGCGACCTTATCGTTCGGCTCCAAGTCCAGAGTCACGAAGCCATCAGCAGCGCCATCTACACGTTCCCAGAAAGCCAAAGATCTCGACCTGATTGATACTACTCGATCGAGTAATACTACTCGATCGAGTACACCATCCGTTGAAGATGTGCCCGAAGCAGAACAGGCCTCTGTTACTCCCACGGAGCCTTCGCAACCCCATGTGGCAGAGCTTGCCGTAAGGAAGCAGGCTCAGACAGAGATTCAACAACCACGATCAGAAGAGGATGCTAAGGCGGAAAAGATTACCGAAAGGCAGCTGCAGCAGTACTGGAAGAAGGAAGAAGCAAAGAGACAAGGGCCCAGAGGTGAGTGACACGCCCCAGTCAGGCATCTCCTGTGACAAGTACGCTGATCATCTCCACCAGTTCACCAGGAGGGCCTCGAGCTACGAGAGAAGATTCTGCGCAACTTCGACCTCTCAAGCCAGTACGGGGTAGGTCTGACTCTATTCATATACCTCATGTTCTTTTGAGCTGACCTTATATTGGTGTAGCCTTGCATTGGAATTGCTCGACTGAAGCGGTGGAGACGTGCGCATATGCTGGGCCTCAATCCTCCCATTGAGGTGTTGGCCGTGTTGTTGAACCCGGACGATACCACTAAACAGAGAGCGTATATTGACGAGTTGATGTCTTGAGCATCGGCTTGGTGGGACCCTGCAATTATATATTTCTGTCCCATGGAACAACGGGAGATAGATTTGGGAATATGGGTGTTTGTTGGACGGGCGTTTGGGAGAACTCTGCGCATACCCTTTGGATTACTATTTTTGAATGACCTACACTACTTTGATTGCCAACCTCCGTCTTCTCCCAGTCAACTCTCTTGATCTGCAGACACTGTGGAACACAAGTAGCCACTCAAACTACGCACAAACACGGAGGTAATATAATCAAGGTATATACGCAAGCCGTTGGACTACAGGCTGGGCGAAGTATACTTTTAGTGACTCCTAAACGCCACTCGAGCAACCTTTGATCCGCAGCAGCTGTGAAGTTGAATTTGACCACGCTGAGCACACGACAGGAGTGGCTGGTCGCACAGTATCTCACAAAGAGGGTGGATGCTTCCGCGTAAAGGACCCGAAGATGTCTAGGCTCCGAAGACGTTGCGCTTGAGCGCTTTTTACTCGGTTGGTCAGACAAAAAAGCCCCTTTCAGTGCTACCAAACCATTGGTTTTCATATCACTGTCCTACTGGACGTTCACTGCAAGCTCCCCTCGACATGTCCAAGAAGCTCCTGCATTAGCCGATCTACGCTCAGAGATGGAGGGGGCGCTATAACTGGACCTCAAGGCTGCTAGGGATTGCCTTTGATGCATTCGCATTGCACCAAATGACTGCATGATTCTGTAGTTCGTTTCCAAGCTCCATAGCTGACATCTGTCGCTGAATTTTGCGATGAGTCAAGTCTCTCCCCCTTTTTTGGTCGTACCCTGACAACAGACACCATTGAGATCACAACAGAATTTGATCTGAATGGTCCCAACATAGTATGACACCGACTGTCACCCGCTATGGACAGAAATCTGCGTGTCACCACGAACTACGTGCAATTTTACCCGTCCTACGTCGCATTTTGCTCATTCGGCAATGATCTCCGTCTATATACACGTCCTTTCATGAACAACCCAGCGCATCGTTCAAGAAGGGGATGGATCAAGCTTGTAAGACATATGGTTGATTGGCCGTGCGTTTTGGAAGATGGTCTTTGCCCGATCACTCCAAACGGCCGGAGGTTCCTACTTGGGTTGTGCATCGCCCACCCCATGTCCATAATTCTGAAATGAAAACGGGGCAATCCGATATGCCTCAATGGGAACATTATATGCATGTGATACCGGCTTCAAAGTTCCGTGAAACTGTGGCACAAGCTTATAAGAAGTAAGGCCCTCCGCTCATAAGTCTTCTCTGACCACTTGTCTGGCAACTATCGTTTGTCGCTCCTCAGGCTACGCTTAAGTTCTTCTCAACGCAAGCTACAACTTCAAATAATAGAAAGCCAAGTTCCTCAACAATGCAGCTATTCAACGCACTTTTTGTTCTGCTCGCTAGCACCCTTGCTACTGCACAGCTCCCAAATATCCCTTCATGCTCTGTAAGCTTTAACGTCCAGCTGATGGGATTAACCTGATTGACATCACAACTTGTCTCTTAGATAAACTGCTTCATCAGTGCATTCGAGCGCGATGGATGTTCACAGTTGACAGACTTTGCTTGCCATTGCCAGAAGCCTGATCTGCCTACCACCATATCTCCCTGCGTCCAAAGATCATGCAACGTTGCCGACCAGTCTGGTATAAGCCAACCCATTCCCTACGGACTGGACCGGACTAATAATTCGCCAGCCGTATCTAGTGAAGTTGTCCGACAATGTTCCATCGCGGGTCATCCCATATCTATCCCACCGGTGGGCGGTGGTCTTGAGACTACGACCTTGTCTATGCCCAGGACCTCCACGACTGATTCCGGCGCTGTCTCCTCCAGCGCTGCATCAGCGACCCTTCCGACGGTATCCTCCTCTGGTGCCGCATCATCGTCTAAGGTGTCGCATTCCTCGTCCGCATCTGCATCGGCTTCGGCATCTAGCTCCCGCGCTCCTTCAACTCCAGGCTCACACAGTCAGTCTGGTCATGGATCGTCCACGCCATCTCCATCCTCTCCTCTTTCAACTGGCTCTGCATCTACTGTCAAGGCGGGTGTAGCTGGGGCTATGGTCATTGCTGCAGCTGCAGTGTGCGTGCTATAGACAAACCTACGGTGTAGCAAGGCAGACTAATGGAATCTTCTGAGGCGTATGAGAAGTGTATAGCATGTCTCTCCTTCTGCTATTTTCGCTACCGGTGATCTTGGGTACTTTTCGGTTGTTATTCTTACTTTGATTCTACTGAACTCCGTCCATGCCTCTACATGGTTTTAATATCATTGATTTCCCGTGCAAGAAAAAGCTCTCAGTTGACCCTAAAACGTTATTGCTTATAATGCAGAATCAAGTATCACTTATTCCTAGTTCGTACTTCCTAAGCCAGCAAAGTTAGCAGTGCAATGGAGCGTGCAGGATATCACTCTGACCCAGCGAGGTCCGGAACACAACTACGAACCACATCCAATTGAATGCACACCAACTGCACGAAGTACTCACACCTAAATGAGCCCGGCAACACTCAAATACGAGAAGAAACATTCAAAGATGACAACATTAACTGCATGAAACTCGTAAACGACGGTAAACGACCATACGGTAGCTCCAACCCGAGCATACATAAACGAGCAGATCCCCCCGAGCTCGTGTCATCCTTTCTTCTTTCTCTCCCAACCAACCGAGACCTGCTAAACAACACAACACCATCAACTCCATAAGAATATAGCAGACCTCTAAGACTCCTTCTTTCTTTTGATCCTTAACCCCCTTTACTCCACGCTCAAGACCCAACAGAAAAGAAAACCTCAACGCCAGACAAGAGACAACTTTTCACGAGACGCGAAACTCGCTGTCAGTCAGCTACCACTCTCCCCAATCGGGACTGGGGAGTTGGTAGCTGACTGACAGAGCGAGACCTTCAGTCAGTCACTCCTGAACGAACGACGAAGTTGAATGCCCATGACCCTCCTCCTGTTCGACAGCATCGTCATGGCCGTCGGAGACAACGTTCTCCCAGAAGGCGTGGATGGCCTCATAGTCACAGTCGTCGTCCAGGCTAGTTGAAGTGTCGGCGTCGTATCCAGGGTCGCAGGGGTCATTAGCTGCTATATCCTGGTCGATGTCGTTGTTGTTGCTTTCGCTGTTCGTGAGTGCTTCATTACCCCATTAGCATCATGGTTTATCACTAACTGAACGCCCACTACTTCTAGGAAACGTACTCTGATCCACATGGTCGACATTACCCTCGTCACAATCGGCGCCCGACACAGAGGAGATCTCAGTCTCAGCCATAGCTGTTGCGAGATCTTCCATAGTTGTCTGATCGTACCCAGTCACCTGGGCACTCTGGTCACCCAGCCCCTGGACATGATCCTGATTCTGAGCGGGAGCAGCCTGATTGACCGGCAAAGCCGGGGAAACCGGAGACGACACAGGAGCCGGAGTCGAGACAGGGACAGGCCACATCAGAAGGACGATACCGTCGTCAGGTTCACCATCAGTAGCATTGGGATGAGCGAGCTGCAGGATGAATTCTCTCGACGAGTTGGAAAGAATGGACGATGCAGTCGACATCGAGCTGACGGCACTTTGCGGGGGAGACGACGACTCTGGAGACGGGACCTCAGTACCGGCGCTGGCGCGGGCGGTAGTAGTAGGTGCGATGATGGTTGTGTCGATCTTCAGGGCCGGTCTATTGGGCTTGTTATGGTTGTCATTATTTTCTCTGTCGTGAGGATGATCAGACGACGAAGCCATGGTTGCTGCGATTCTCTCGTCAGGTTTCTGATTATCATCTTCCCTTTTTCTTTTATGTCTCTCTTACTATTGTATCCCAGCTCCCAGCGGCAGCGATCTTGCCTGTGGATTTTGCTTGTGGTACATGGTCAGTTTTCTATGTTTTTTTTCTCCTCTTCACTGAGCGAGAAGGAACTCCCGGAATGACTGCTGTCATCACTTACTGGATTCGAGATGATTAGTCGTTCTGTTCTGTCGATAGCGAAAATCGTATCTTTGAACTTCTGTTGTGAGAACGCGTATGGTGTGATAACGCCGAGAGAACGAAGAGTCCGTAATGGAAGATGTGTTGTTGTGAGGAAGTATACATTACGCGATCGATGTATGTATGGACTGGGCAGGACGAGGGCCAGTGAATGCGAGTTTCAAGCCGAGCCAGCATCTTTGTGTGTTAGAGTGTGAGGCTGGTATTGAATGTAAGTGGGCATTCGCTTGCTGCTTCGTTGTTGGGTGAGTGGGTTCACAGTCGTGTTAATATAGTAAGAGTACGTAGATGTGCTGGTTTCTTAGTTCCGGCTTGATTGGGTTTTTAGGGGAGAGGTGTTGATGAGTGGGATTCATCTAAGTTAGCTATACTGAATGATGATATATGTCCTCAATTCATCACTGTTGTCTCTAGTTAGTAGTTTGTGATTGATGTGACCGCTCAGGAATGGTACGGGTAGACTGTTGATGGAGATTGCTACTACATCCGCGCTGCAATATATTATTTATCCTAGATGGTAGATTGTACATGTTTCACTCTATCTATCGCTTTGCATTCAGATTACGCTAATGTTGCTAAATGAAGACCTCGTTATGTCAAGCATGAGGAAGATGCTGAAAAGAAAAACAAGAGGAGATGTAAATGAGACTTATGGGACCCATAGCCGGACATAGCCTGCAACGTCCTGGCGGCATGTCACACAATTTCCAAAGTTATTCATCGCGAGACTGACACGGCAATCTTCACAAATACAGAGACACCGACATGGCCAGGTGATGATGGACCGTGGGTTGGTCTGGCAAATGACGCATGGCGGCCCGCTAGGACCAAGACCCGAGGCGCCCGATTCCCACGTCTGCTCGTCTGTGCTTCGAGCGGATGACATCTCGGCTCTTCGCGAAAGGATGAGGTTTTCGAGAAGCTCAGCTTCTTCCTCGGAGGTAGGCTTGCGCTTGCCGTTAGTAGATTCATATGTGGAAGGCCGTGCCAATCGTGAGCTTAGCAGAATTTGGGCTCGGTCGCGTTCAACGTGCTTCTGGAACTGCCGACGGGTCATTATCCGACCCTCACGGCCGGCAGCCAGGTGAGCAGACAATATGCGCGCTTCGTGTCTGCTTTCTTAATCGCGAGGATCCAGCAGTCGTGCCAAGGCGCCGATATCCACTAGCGGTTCATGAGCCGGAGTACTTTCTCGGGAGAAACGACCTGGAAAGGGGTCTTCTTGAGTGGGAGTGCGACGACCGTCGGATTCGTACCCTTCCCACTCGGAGTCGGCCGTTGTCGACATCGATATGACGCTCGTGGTGTCTTCCCAATCACCAACAGACGGTGTATAGTCAGAGGTCTGGTCCTGATTGCCCCAGGAGCCTCCCACTTTCCACCAACCGTAGAGTTTCTCATCAAGCCGGCGTTCATCGGATTCCTCCCAGCCAGCGGCCTGATTCCTTTCTCTTTTCCGCATCTCTCTTTCTACATCGAATTCATGATCGTCAGGCAGCTCTAAAACTCCATCATCTGTCAAAATCCAAAAGTCTAGAGTATCCATGCGGTTGCCCTTTCTCTTCTTCTGCGAGTCCTTTGGTGACCCTACCGCGGATTTCAACCACTGTGGGCGGGCAGTTATGCCCATCCGGGAAAGAAGCTTGTCCAATCCGTATGAAATCCACTTCAGGACGAGATAGAAGATGCCGCGGAAGAAGGCGAACCCATGGTAACATCGAACCACGCCCCTGAAGGTACCCACACCGCCTGCATCATTCTGCGGACGAACAGGCCTGGAGCCTGGCTTGGGCTTCTCGATCTTCTTTTCGCGCGAGTATCCGCTCTCCCATTCCACGGTTGACTCGGGAATATCGAAGTCTAACTCCCCATTCTCAGAGCACATATCCCCGGAAGGGTCACTGCGAAGGTTCCAAGATGACTGCTTGCGATGAGACTCTATTTCGGCCAGCCTGTCCTGTTCTAGCCAAGTCATCCTGCGCGCGGAAACCCGTCTTCCTTCATTAAGAAAGACGGCCTCGCTAGCAGCCGTTAAAGCTGTGTAACCGATCCTCAGCAGCGTGCTGTAGAAATCCTCGTGCCAGTTAAGACGAATATTCTGAATCTGGCTGGCGCCCTGCATATTCTCATGTGCCAGAGAAAATCTTTCTCGAAGTGACAAAGGACCCGAAGTCTGCGTAGGTAGCGAAAATGCTGTGATAATCAGGGCAATCGCGTATATAAAGACGCAGGCGATAATTCCTAGCAGTATGAGAAGGTGCGGAACGAACCCTACAATGCAGACAGTCGGAAATTTCAGAACGACATTGTCGCTTCCAACTGCCGAACTGCCGAACAAGCCCCATGCCATAGCCGACATGAAGCAAAGGCCCCAGAAAGCGGTATTCACCAAGCGGTAACGACTTTGTCTGCCAATGACATCTAGAACATTTGAGGTCAGACTGTTGCAACACGATATCATCGCGATCAGTAATAACTCGGGGGTGACATTCATTCGCTCTAGAGCTTGAGCTCGAGTCAGGATATGCAGGGTAGATTGCCCGCCCTCCCCAGCGATATCTTTAGGACTGCTTTGCTTGGACAACCCAAATATACCAAGACCAAGAGTTTGGCTGATCACAGATTCCGCCTCTGCAAATGCAAGCGAGTGTTCGAAAATAGACATGCCAGCTTCTGTGACGACTGCTCGTCCCTGCAAAGCGCAAGACACGGTCTCGACAAAGTGACTGAGGCAGAGGCGTATGAAAACTGGCCAGAGTAGTCGGAAAGAGCCATATGATATGTCCGAGGCATTTACAGGACGACCCATATGCACCGCACTGCAAGACTGCTCGTCTGTTTCCCAAGGCAAAAGGGTGGAGCTTAGGGAATGCAAAAAGCCACCGCCTCCAGAATGGTCGAATAGCAAGCGCTTCCCTGGCGTACCATAGCGTATCGTAGAGTATTCCGGGGATGTTTGACAACGGATAGACCGAAGAAGGGCGTAGATTTGAGTTATAAAGAGGACAATGGGAACAATCCGCAGAGCCAATCGCCTAGTCCAATCGAGATTAAGGTGTCTTCTAGTGGAAGCATATATGGTAATCCTGTTCAATACAAGAGCCTTGATAGGTTAGCCTGACCATTTTCACAACAACGACTAGCCGGATCCAGTGGGTATTTACCACGGTAAAGCAGGTTAAAGACCAACGGCTTGTCAGATACGAGAAGAAACCACTGAATTTCATGACTGCCTGGAGGATGTCGGAGAAATGGAGACTGGAGTCAGCCTGAGCAGCAGCATCAACAACGCCGTCTCTGACAGCCTCAGCCGCTGTCTGCGTTGCCAGTACTGCTTCAGGCTCCAGCCCCGTCCCAGGAGCTGCCCCCCAAAATCGTGTCGCCATATCTTGCAGCCCAACTAGCTTAGCGATCTGCTTAGGCACGGTAGAGAATGTAAAAGCCTCTGCCTGGTAGAGCCCACGAAATGGAAGCGACAGTAGTTCGCGCGACGACGAGGACAATGAGGAATGAGCGGCGATCGATGAAGTGGTGTTCAGGGACTGCGCAGCAGTTAATGAAGCAGTTGCGGCGGAAGCGGCTGATGGCAGTATGGACATGGCTGATGCTCAGGGAACAGGAGCGATGCCTGAGCGATCTGGGTTGAGCCGGAAAGCGAATCTCTCAAAAGTAAGCATCCGTGGGATGGTGGGTACAAGGGTGTCGCGCAAATGCGAGGAGACGGAGAGGGGGCGATCGTAAACGGGGTGATCCGGTATCACTGGGAGAGAGCGAGCATGCCAAGAGGAGCTGGTGGCATATCCGAAATCATTTCCCCGGAGTGAGTTGGACAGCGAGTCCCTCATGCAACGAGGTGTATTGGGGATGGAGAGGCAGTAAGATACACAGTAGTTCGATTTAAAGTCGGTCTATCTTGGACCGTCATCAGTTCAACCCGCGTTCTCCAGTCCGTTCCCCGACATCCGCCGCTAACCGGATCAGGCAATTGCCACGGAATTTGCACGTGCCATCCCGGCATCATCCCGCGGTTGCTTCCTTATGGTGGTTGTTTCTTCGTTCTCTGCATGAGATGCATTCAATACACCAATTTTATTGCAGCGGCGCGGATTATTCCTTGTGTTAATTTGTGGGATGGATCTCTTTTTCCTGACTCTATCTAGCATAACTCCGAACAAAGTCCGTGTTCCCTGTTCTAGAAGGGAAAAAGAAGGCTATACCCACTTATTACCGCTGCTAGTATAGATTGCTCAGCCCTTGCTATATTGCTATGCCTCATGTGCAGTAGATCCCAAGTCTATTCTCTACTAGTGCCAATCACCGCCATAGCTATTCTTAAAAAAGATATCAGCGCAGTCAAACTATCACGCCAAGTTGATAAATTTTGCCTGTAGTTCAAAGTTTTGGACTATCTAGTGTCACACTAGTCCACTTCCCGTAAGGAAAGCGAATACGAAGTACAGCATGGATTCCCAACCAGGGGTTGCACAAAGTCTATTGCCTGTCCCCCATCACCATAAATATCTGACCCCCGGGAGCATGGTATGGAGCTTCTCTTCATAGTCTGCTTCCTTCCAATCGGGACTTGCTCTAGCCTTCTGGGTGTGGCGCTGAGATATGGAAAAGATCCACGGCTGGGGTATAGCGACCCTGGTTCGTCATCATATGACCAGGCACCGCCGCCGTATTCACCATACAATGATAGTGGACCTGTGGTCGAATCGGCCGATGTACAGGGTGAGCGGATTCTTTCCACGATTATGGGCATAACAGTTTGAAGAAGGGCTAATCATCAACAAAGCCAATGGCCGCGTCAATGTCGATTTAGATTCAAGCCTGGCAAGAACATTAGCCTCGATCATTGAGCTTCAGCAAGAAGATCTGCAAAATCCACCTCCAGATTACACTGAGGATCAGCTAATAAAAGATGAGCTGCTGCAATGTGACATTCAACTGAACATTGTGATACAAATTGTGGGCAGCAGAGGTGATGTGCAACCATTTATCGCCTTGGGGACCGAGCTACAAAAATTCGGTCATCGGGTCCGAATAGCCACACACGATGTTTTTTCTGATTTTGTCACTCAAGCTGGTCTTGAGTTCTATCCAATAGGAGGTGATCCCGCAGAGCTGATGGCATTCATGGTCAAGAACCCCGGGTTAATACCTCAAATCAGCAGCCTGCGCGCCGGGGAAGTTCAAAAGAAGAGGGCAATGGTGAATGAGATGCTTCATGGCTGCTGGAAGTCTTGCATCGAAGACGACCCTGTTACGAAGATCCCATTTACCGCAGATGCCATCATTGCAAATCCACCTAGCTTTGCCCATGTTCATTGTGCGCAGGCTTTGAGTATCCCAGTCCACCTCATGTTCACCATGCCTTGGACTAGTACCAAGGCCTTCCCCCACCCGCTTGCTAACCTGAGCTCTTCTGAAATGAACCCAAATGTAGCAAACTGGGTTTCTTATGGTGTTGTCGAGTGGCTTACATGGCAAGGGTGCGTGCAGTCACTTGACCGGTGAGAACTCATGGCTAACGTAATCGCATAGGCTTGGAGATGTGGTCAATCGATGGCGGGCATCCATCGATTTGGAACCGGTTCCCACCGCGGAAGGCCCCAGGCTGGCTGAAACGTTAAAGATCCCTTTTACTTATTGCTGGTCACCTGCCTTGATCCCGAGGCCGCGGGACTGGCCAGCTAATATTGGTAGGCACTCACTGGATGAATGTTGCTACTGGACACAGTCGAAAGCTAATTGACTAGATGTCTGTGGTTTCTTTTTCAGGGATCCACCATCCTACGAACCGCCACTCGAACTGAAGGAATTTCTAGAGTCGGGAACGACTCCCATATATATAGGCTTCGGCAGCATCGTGATCGATGATCCCCAGAAGTTGACAGAAATTATCTTAGAAGCGATCGCGAGAACTGGTGTACGTGCCATTATATCACGAGGCTGGAGCAAGCTAGGTGGTGTGCCCAGTTCCAATACCTATTACATTGATGATTGCCCTCATGAATGGCTTTTCAGGCACGTTGCTGCCGTGGTGCATCATGGAGGTGCTGGGACAACCGCGTGTGGTCTTGCTAACGGTCGACCGACTACTATTGTGCCCTTCTTTGGGGAGTAAGTACTAAATAGGAAAAGATACTACTACCTGGCAATTCCAATGCTAACCTATCGCAGTCAACCATTCTGGGGCAGTATGGTAGCAAGATCTGGTGCTGGACCTAGGCCAATCCCGTATGCTTCGCTCAACGCAGAGAATCTGGCTGAAGCTATCGCATTCTCGCTGAGGCCGACCACAGCAGAATCCGCTCGAGGCATTGCTTTAAAGATGCAACACGAGTCAGGAGTAGCAGCAGCTGTTCGATCCTTCCATCGTCATCTCCCACTGGACAGGATGCGTTGCTCCTTGATACCTAATCAACCTGCTATGTGGATTCACAAGCGGTCTAAGAAGAGCTTAAAGCTTTCGAAAGTTGCTGTTCAGTTATTGATTGACAACGGGAAGCTTAACGCAAAGGAGCTTCGGTGGTGAGTATCGCTTGCCACTTTTGCTCAAGCTTGAGAAATTTCAGGTGTGCTGACTCGAGGTCCATACTAGCAACACCATCAATCCGATACATATCGAAAACCGTCGTTGGGACCCTGTGACTGGGATCATATCTGCCTCCACAAGCACAGGATCTGCAATGCTCAAATCGACCGGAGAGATGCTATACAACCCATACAAGGAATACACATCCAGCCGTTCTCCAAAGCCACCAATATCACGAACTACATCTGCACTTTCTACAACTACAACATCATCGTCTTCTAGATCCCTCGCAGACTTTTCCGAGACAAGTAGGCGGCCCTCTGACCGGATAGATACGGAGACTCCAATCAACAGTGGGTCCAACAATAACGCGTTATCAACGGCGGGGAATATGGTTGGAGCTTCTTTGAAGGGTTTTGGCAAGTTCACAGGAGCATACTTTAAAGGCGTGGTGGTAGACATTCCCTACGCTGCTGCTGAGGGTTTCCGACAGGTTCCTCGACTCTATGGAGAAGAACCGAAGCAGTATGGCACGGTTCGTGATTGGAAGTCTGGTGCTACTATGGGCGGCAAGAACTTTGTCGATGGCATGACAGATGGGTTCAAGGGGTTATTCACTCAGCCTATCAAAGGCGCGAGGGAAGAGGGGGCGCTGGGGGCCGTCAAAGGATTTGCAAAAGGAACCATTGGACTTGCGACTAAAGTTCCGTCGGGTAAGTACAATATTTCCCGAGCAAGATGCCCGCATTATAGAGTACGATCGCTAACTGGTATCCATGTATAGCTGGAATTGGGCTTGTCGCCTACCCTTTTCAAGGAATAGCGAAAACGATCGAAGCAGCCGTCAGGTCTAAGACAGGAAAAGCGATCATTCTTGCCCGCCTCAGAGATGGGTACGCTATGACAGAGCGAGCCCACATGTCTGAAGATGAACAACAATATCTCCTACGGAGGTTCCAGGCTCTGATGGATCCATGATATGCGATATCTCCTGGCACATAATTTGGCTGTAAGCCGGTCCAGTAGTTTTCGACTTGAGTGCACATTAAGCACATTTGATTAGCCGTTGTGTCGCTATGGTCAAATAAGGTCATGAACACTAGTATCTACTGTGATGGGGCTCTCGGAAGGATGGGATATATTTATCACAATATTATTGAACTGGATAATATGTATCTAACTTGTCCCACTAATGAACGGTTGAACAATGTAAAGTATATATCACCAGATGAATTTCCGAAGAGCACATATTATTTCTCATGAAGCACGTCCAGCATACAAACAGAGAAGGGTGCAAACTAAGAGGGAAAAGCGTCGTTGCATCGTGTCAGCATCTCCCATGCACTGACTCCTTCCTTCCTCTGAGCAATGCTATGAGATACTTGAATTACACGTCTGGCAGTAGACAGTCGTTGCTGTCATTAATATTGTCTGAGAAAATTGAGCGCTAATATTAAAGACGGCGCATTGCAGCAATTGCGAACGCTCAACGAGCGCGACAAGTTCACATGATGTGGCCAGTATTGAACAGTATGATCCCCAGCGTACATTTCTCATTTAACTATACTTTCGCTGACTTTTTGATCGCGTTCCTACAGCACTGTTGCATCCCACAGGTTACCTGAACTGTAACCGCAATTCAATGCTGGTGGCTTGGTTCATACTATACCCGAAGCGCTGGATAGTATGGTCTGATCTTCCTGTCAGAAGAATTCAAGAACAAATGCATCTCACCTATGATGCCTACGATGTTGGCGCCAATGGCCCAGTGAAATACATGCATTATCTCAGACAACTCAAAGGCAATATTTCGTTCTCCCCGAAAGTTGGTCCCCTAGCCCACACAGCCCATAATTACTTCATAGATGGCCTGTTGCAAGCTTTGATTGTCCCTCATGCTTTTTCAACACATACTTCAAGCTCATCGCTCCCATCTCGCTAGTGACATCACTACTCCACGAAAGATTTGGGGTCAACCGAAAGGCTTAATGTGCTTGCCAGCTAAAGTCTACAGAAAAGCTGACACAGCATCTCGCTCGCCCTATCATATAAACGAGG